ATTTCCCTATTCTTAAATGCTTAATTCTGACTCATCTTTTTGTCAACTGGAGTTCATTGATTTGCCATACTTTTTTAGGGAGAATATGAGAGAGGTACACTTCTCTGAATTTTTCCTTATCTAAGATTCTCTTTTCATTTCCTATCATCTATAAACAACAACTTGGGTAGGTATACGAGTTTAAGGTCAAAATTTTTTTCTTCAAAATTTTCTGGAAACCACCCATTTTGTTCTGGAAAAGCTGCAGTGCTGCAGAGTAGAAGTTTGAGAATTGACTGATTTTTATCTTTTTTGTTTGTTAAACTTATTTTTCTTTATTCTTTTAATTAAAAAGCATTTCTAGGATGTATCCTGGTATATGTTTTTTATAAAACATATAAAACATGGCTGTCGATCTGTATACTTTGTTTTTCACTGAGCGCTGGAAATTTTTCTTCAGTTCTCTTTTTTTAATACTTCAATTGCAATTTTCTATTTTCATGAGCAACAACTATATTTTTTTCAAACTTGACCTCCTCATCTAAATTACTATCTTTTTAAACATTTACTTGCTTGTTTTTTTCTCCTGATTTCTAGAACACCACCCTAAATTTTCCCTTTATACCGCTGGTGTATTTTTCCATAGGGTTAGTTTTTCTCTTTGCTGCTTCTAACACAGATCTGAAATGTATTATTGCATTTTTATTCCTCTGAGATGATATCCTATAGTTCATCTAGCTTTCTTTGTGGCTCAGTTTGATCTCTATGGGTTTCTGCATAATTTGTAGAAGGAATGTCATTTTTCTTTCTGTTGTTGCTGAAGGTTTTGAAAAGTTCCTTCTGAACATAGTCTTGAATGTATGTTCAGAATGGTGTTCACTTCCCTTGTTCAGTATTTTTCCATAATCTGCCTTTTTTTCTTTATTTATTCATCTTTGAATGAAAAGATTGATCCAGAACCAGTAATAGCCCACCAACAGACTATATAGAATGCCTTGGGACCATTAACTATCCCTCAGAGTGCTACTTGAGCATCCTTCTTACATCCACAGTTGGAGGGATGGCTGACTGTTCTTCCCCTTCCTACCTCCATTCCCAGGGTCCAGTGGCATCCATGTAATTTGGCTCTGCTAGATTGAGGTGTGATTTTCTTCTATCTGTAATGCATGAAAACTATAACCCCCAACTCTCTCACAAATGTTCCCAACAGGCTTTCCATGTCTTATCCACAGCTTTCAAAACTTTAAATTCATCCCACTCCATTCCACCTTCAGAATCCAAAGAGTCCCTGGCTGGGACACTTGCCACTGTCTCCCACCTCTTGCCCTGTTGCTTGTTTGAGAGTTGCCACCCTTGGAAGAATATGGAGAAATTATATGTGTGTGCATAAAACTGTACTCTGGCTGCCTCAAACGATATTATCGGAGTAGTAGAGGAAGGTTTTGAGATTGCTCTATTTTCTGGGTCTCTGAATCAAGGAGCAGGACTGTAGAAGAAATGAACTCTTCCCTTACTGACTTTCAGAGAACTACATCTCCTCTCTTCCATGTGGTAAAGCAGGAATAAGCCGTTCAACGTTTCTCTCAAGCCAACTGCATCTGCTTCTGATATTGGTTCATGCTGATACTGGGTTGTCATCAGTCTGAGTTTTCTGAGCCATGGTGAATGTTCACCTTTCCTTGGAAATAATTTTTGGTGGGAAACAGCTCCTAGAAGAGAGACACTGTTTTGCATTAGTTTCAGATATTGTTCTTGAGGTTCAGTCCTCAGAACCTACAAGGAATTCAGGAGCCCCTCGGATAAAGGCTTCCCTTGTCATCCCTTACTTTCTCTTACACTTGAATAATCAAAAGGTAGGAAAAAGAATGGGTAAGGATAAACATGGTTGATTTGGTAACCCCCATTCCTAGGAAAGCATGCCCAAGTTCCCGGGGCCTTGGATAAGGAAGTAGGGAGTATCTGCTATGCTTTTCATTCCTATGGGCAGGTCAGCACAGGCCATGGAGTTTCAGACAAGAGCTGAAGGAGGTTGGGAAGTCTGCTGTTTAAACTCTTCATAACACCCAGTGTATTATCAGTTGCCCAAAGGCATTGCACAAGATCTGCCATTCTACCTGGAAGATCTACACATGATTCCTGTGGTCGGCTCCAGAATTTTCTTCAGCATAAGTGCCTGAAGGAGAACCTTATATTTATGGCTCCCAAAGTAGAAGGTTATACAATGGAGGTTGAGGTGGAGGGGTAACTGATGACATGACTGAGATTCTCAGTTGTTAGGGGCTCCTCCAGAAGTGATAGTGTAAGAATAGTAATAAGACAGTCTTTTCTGAAATTAGGAGAGCCACCAGGGCATACTAATCAATTATTTCATGCCAATACAAAATCATTGAACACCTACCACACACCTACTGTATTCCTTGTTCATGGAATGTCTTTGGAGAGACACAAAGATTGCATTTTTTACCAGGCTAACTAGCCCTCTCTTCTATTTGAAAAGCACTCCCTCCTGCAATTAGAGCAGATAATGAATTAGACAACAAAAAAGTACAGGGAGAAGGGAAAAAAGTCATTGCAGGAAGTGTTCTCAACACATAAATTATCCCGAGAAAAAAGGGATTCTGGCGTTATGATTGGTTTGTCGGATAAGCTGGCTGGGGTCTGAGAAGGGCACCTGGGACAGGTAAGCAGAATGGTACCAAATTTAGGATGGTGGTTGTGTATTAAGGTGGTGCTTTTCTTCCAGTGATGTTTCTGAGATGTTGAGGATTGCTCGGCAGAGGTGGCCAGACTTGGTGTCAGCCACTGGAAGGGCAGAGGAAACGATGTTGAAGATAAACTTGTTTACTTCACAGTCATACCTGAGGTTGTCTAAGAATCCTCAGAAAACATTTCCCTCCTCCCAGGGCATCATGCAACGTGCTCAGATTTTCCAATTTAGGCACAACAGACCTTTCCCACTTGACATTTTCCCACAAACTTTCCTCATGTGATCTCCCTAAGCCCCATCCCCTCCTATGTTTTCTTCCCCACTATCTCCCCATCTCGTGTTCTCTTCTTGCTCGGCCCAGTGATTTTTGTTTGCAAAGCCACTATCCAGTTATCTTCTATCACTTCTCATCAGGAGCTTTTCTCTCAACTGGTTTGGCCGTGAGATCCCAGCCTTCCCCCTTTCTTCAGCAAGAGAGAGCAGAGAGCCTAAGACTGAGAAGTACGTGGCTTCTCAGGGTACATCTTCTCACTAAACCATGAGTCATAATCCTTGATGGCCTTTTCTCTAGCCTGTGTGAGGGTCCAGAGTTATCCATTTCCAGCTGTTCTGTATAGGAGGAAAAGCAGTCTTTACAGAGCTGACACTGCCACTTCACCCAAGCGCTGGCACACATTCATTAGGTACCTATGAGCACTTCACCGTCAGTGTGCTGTTTAATCCTCATGATGATCCGGTGAGGGAGGTTTCATTAAGCTAGGGTGTTCAGTGTAAGTAAGTATGTCCCAAATAGTCACAAGACAGACTTATGCTAAAATATTTTCTTTTTATCTGAGATTCACATGTTAAGTGTGGACCCTCTATTTTTCTTTGCCAACCTCCCTTAAGCCCGTACTACAGACGAGGCTGTGACTCGCCGTGGATGCCTGAGAGGTGTTAGCTTCTTGCTCCTGTCCTTCCCCATTGCCATCACTCAGGCAGTCGAAAGAGAAAGAAAGAAAACATCATTTCAAGTGAACGAATATGCTCTGGTCTTCTTCCCATTTGCCATTTCTTCAGACATTTTCACCTATTGTCTGGAGCTCCCTGGCAGCACTTAAATTCAGTAGGGGGCACAGTCATGATCTGATACTTTGGCTGGATCCTGACCAGAATTTTGACCTTTCTGAAAGGGACATAGCAAAGCAGAGAGCCCAGAGGCCTTGGCATCCGTAGCCATGTATACCCACCCTGGCTTTGGCACCAACTCAGTCTATAAACCAGGCCACCTCTATTAAATCTTTATGACTTTTAGTTTCTTCATTGAAAGTTGAGAATGGGATTCCTGACCTTCATTCTTCATGGGGTCTTGTCAGGCAGTGTGGTACAGTATCTGTTACCAGATAGACCTGGGTTTAAATCCCAGCTCTGCTACTTACTGGCTGTATGACGTGGGGCAAGTTAACCTAACCCCTCTGTGTCTTGGTTTTTCATCTATAAAATGGAGATAGTAATACTGCAAAACAGAATGGAGACTGTGTGGTTCTAGGGCAAGTCTTACTAATTAAGTCTTTCATTCAAACAAGCACTTAATTTATAACTAGTCAACTCCTCTGTGAACAGCTGTGTTCAGGGGCTGTGAACGAATGCCTAGCTCTGTTTTCTGAGCAGCTAGGGACACCAAAGGAGCAGAAAACCTGATCTTGGTCCTGGAGGACCGATGATCCCATAGGGGGAGACCACTTGTACCAGGTGAAACAAGGCAATAAAAGCAAGGGTGTAATGATTCAGTGCAAATTCAGGCATGATGCTAACATGAATAATATGTATAGTGACAATCCTGTCTCACGCTTTTATATTCATTGCACTTTACCAAGGGCATTCATAGACATTTGAGGCGATGTAAAGAGCGGTCAGAATGAGGAGGGGAAGGATATGGGAAGCTTCCTAGAGTATGGGTTCTTGGAGAAGTGACAGATCTGGATTGGAAGATGGCACCTCCGATGGGACAGACCCAAAGGGCAAAGGCCGGGGAGGCGGTGGCATTCAGCAGGACGGCAGAGGAGTTGAAATAGCAGACAAGGAGAAGGAGGCTGGGCCTTTGTGCCTGCTGTTCCCTCTGCTGGAAGCTTTTCCCTCAGGTCCTAATGCACTGGCTTCTCATTGTTCAGGACTTGACTCAGATGTTATCTCCTCTGAGCACCTAAAGTACCTTGTCTCCCCCCACCTGCCTTTCTAGGTCACATAATCTGGTTTTCTGTTTTATTATGCTTTTTTTTAATGGAAGTATTCTATTTGTAATGTTTCATTGTTTATTCTCTGTCTCCCCTAACAGAATAAAAGCCTTGTGGGAACAAGAACATGGAGCCCAGGGTAGGTGCTCAATAAATATTTGTTGGCTGAATGTGTGAGCAGATGGATGGAGGCCTCAAAGTGCTAGCTTGAGGAGTTGGGATTTTATAGAAAATTATGGGGGTGTCAGTAGAGCCTATAGAGGTATACTGTTTGTGCCCAAAAGGACGTTTTTGCAAAAAGACTCACTGAGTGGTTCTTCTCTTTCCTCTTTCCCTAAAATGAGTCTGGGGGGGGGGGATGGGAGTTTGTGGGTGAAGATAGAGTCTGTGTTTGAGCAGTGGTTCTCACCCTGGCTTCATATTAAAGTCCCTGGAGAAATTAAAACATGTCTTCTGTAGGCTTCTCAGGTGATTCCATTGCTCAGCCAAGGGTGTGATAGATACCACTCACAACTTTTATGGACTTCAGCATGATCAACGGGCTTATCTTACTCATATAAGAGATAAAGTAGAAACCAATAACTTTTCTTTTGCTTTTCCTCACAGACCTGCCCAAAGGTGAAGTGCAGCCAGCAAATTTCTTGGGGACTTTTCTGTATTTAATAGTCTATTTGGAATCAGCCATGCATTTCCCTCCACTGAGATGAACCAGTTCTGGCCAGGCTTTGTATGCCATCCTGATGGAACCTTACTTTGGGGACTGGCTGCTGGCACCCCTGAGCTGGCTTCTGTTCTCCTGGCTCCATCAGCAAGCTCAGTCCCAGCTTCCCCTTTCACTGCCCTTTGCCTGCCACTTCCCAACCTCTGTTTATTATGTCCTCACCAGTGTTGTGGATCTAGTGACTTAATGTAGTTGATATTATTTACATGTCCCATGGAAGATGCCAAGCTGATGTTGCCAGCAAATCTCATGTCCCTGCTCCCCAGCTGGCCGAGGTAGAGGGGCCTTTGGAAGGCAGGTGACCTGAGCTCTACCTCTCGGAAAGGGGCTGTTGAAACTCCTTTACTCTTGGAACTTGCATTTGAAGCCTGTTTGGCTGAGTGTCATCCCTTTCCCCCATCCTCTATGGGCTGAAATCTGTCAGTCTTCTTGGGCTGCATATGCAATATGACCTCTAGTGAAATCAAACATCTGGGCCTGTTTCTAATTGGACTAATTGGAACAGATTGGTAGAGCTGCAGAGAGACCTGTTGCTCCTCTCTGGGCTCTTGGCGCCAGACAGAAGAAGCAACCAATCAGTAATTCAGGCAATTTAAGGCTCATTTTGCTTGCTAGCCAAATCTCCACTCTTCCCCCAACCCCCCACCATTTATTTCATAATGTGATTTTCATGACTCAGGTCCATGTGTCTTGTTTTGGAAAATACAAGTAACGGCTGTAAACATAGCATTGCCTCCCCCTGCTTTGGGTACCCTGAGATTTAGAATGCCCATGGTGACTTATCAATTAGTCCTTCATTTGACAACATGTTGAAGGGTCATTTGTAACCAATCTTTATTGAGCACCTACCATGTGTCAGCCACTGTTCTGCTCACTAGGGATACGGGGGAAGGCAGACAGATAAGCAGAGCAAATAAATCAATAGAGATGCGATGACCTAAGATGATAAGCACTATAAGGGTGGCAGTATGACCGAGATGGGATTGGAGGGAAAGGCTGCTTCATATCCAGGGAAGGCAAGGGGTCAGGGATGTGGCACATACCCTGTGTGTGGGGCTGGAAGACTGAGTAAGATGTGGCTCCTGGTCGCACAGAGCTCCCGGTCTGGTTGGGGGATGGGTAAAGAGGACAGTGAGGAATAATGTATTATGTGCTATGATGGAGTTGGATAAAAGGGAGAGTGTAGTGGGAGTGACTAGCAATAGGTCTCACTGCAGCTCTACTAATCTAGTCCAATTAGTTCATGAGAGCAAGGAAAAGTGGAAATCAAGGGATCAAGTTGGGGGAGGATTTGTTATGTGTTCATCCATTCAGCCACATTTCACTGAATGAGCATCTGCTGTGCTCCGGGCATTGTTCGGGGTGCTGCGGTTCCGTGGTGAGCAACAGAGGAGCAGCCTCTGACTGCCTGGAGTTCACATGCTGATGTTGGGGTGGGGTAGGCCAAGAACACGCAAACAAGTAGGACACTTGGGGATGGGATGAGCACTGTGAGGACCACACAGGATGATGTTAAAGGAAGAGCTTGGTGTATTCTGAGGGCTGTGCTGGGGATGGGACTTGACAGAGTGGCCCATGGAAGCTTCTGGTGCCGAGATTGGGTCCCGGGGCTTTCTGGGAGGAGGGGGACTTCCAGGCAGTTGGAGCTACCAGGTAGAAGTCCTGAGGCAGGAATCAGCATGACCAGTGTGAGGAACAGGAAAAAGCCCAGTGTGGCCACGGCCTGGTAAATAAGGGAGAAGGATTCAGAGATGAAGCAGGCAGAATGCAAGAAACCGAGCTGTGAAGCTGTCGTAGGGGTCCAGGCTGGAGAGGACAGAGGCCTGACCTGGAGTGATGGCGCTGGAGATGGCGCAACATGGAAAAATCAAAGATACATGGACGAATAGAACTAAGAGGACTTCTGATACGTGGTCTTTGCAGATGGAGCATTGGAAGGAATCAATGCTAACGGTGGCTTGAGCAAATGAGTGGTTGGGGGGTGGTTACTGAGATGGGAAAGACTAAGAAAAGAACTGGTTTGTGGGGGAAATCACGATTTTTCTTTGGATGCATTTAGTATGAGATGCTAATTGGACATCCCCATGGAGAGGAAGCAGTCCTGACGAAGACTTGAGGTATGAGGGTGGCAAGCCCTTCCCTGGAGGCCAGGTGCCTGGGGATAGCGTGGGAGAGAGCTGCAGTTAGGACAGGCAATGCCGGGGGTGATGGGGAATAGCCCAGAAGTGGGACGTGACAGGAGGCGGGGAGACTACCCTGGTCTGCCGTCACTGTCCATGTGGGAAAGTGTGTGAGACATGAATCCCTTTGGTACCTGCACCTTAGATTTGCCTCCTTGTGCAGTGGACTGCTTCCTGATTCCATTTCAGGGTTGGTCACCCAGCCAACAGTACAGCTGGCATGTAGGGGGCTTTTGGATTGGGTCCATCTCTATGCTATTGGCTTCTGATAATGTAATCTGCACCAAGACCCTCTGAGGTGGGTGTGGCTCCCCTACTTATGCATAAATGTGGGGGTAGTTGCAGTTGTTTTTGGTGAGCTCAGAATGACACTGAGTAAGTGACCTCTAAAAACATCTCTTGTTAGCAGACATTGTTGCCCTGTTTGTCCTGGGGGTGATATTCTCACCTGTGAAGGCTCTTGCTTGTGGTCCTTAAGGATGGGAGCGTCTGAACTATTATTACCCCCATTTTAAGATAAAGAAACTGAGTCTCAGGAGAGCCCAGTGACCTCCCAAAGTGTCACAGTCGGTGCATGGAGGGCAGGAAGCCTCTCCCTGGTCCTTCTTTCTTCTCTCTCAAGCCCCTGTTGCTAATCACTGCACAGAAGGTCAGGTATGGGGATACACCAGAGGCAATGGCGGTGGCTTGCAGGTCTTTGGTCAGAAGAAAAGCTTGTGTGCTGTGTGATCATCATAGACAAATCAGCGTTTCAGAAGGAAGAGGAAATGTGCACACGGGGGAAGCCCTCTTATCTAGCACACTGGAGAAGGCGATCTGCCATTTATATTTAATCTGCAAGTACAGAATCATCAAATAAAACAGACATAAATTAATGTTATTTTTTATCTAAAGCATTCAAATGGGAACTTTTCTTTGTGAATGAACTGCAGATAGGCATGTAGTGTTGTCATTTATTCTTTTTATTTTAAATGCAACACACCTTTGTCTAGTTTTTCCAAAGCATTCGATTTAGCTCTTATAGAAACAAGAATTCTTTCTTTTTTGAATTTGTAGTTGATCAGTTTATTTAATATTTGATTAAATTATGTAGTTTCAATAATGAGCACAATAGGTATAAACAGATTTGAGAACAGACACAAGGCACTCTTGGAAAAAGCATGATGCACAGAAGAGAGGGCTTCCTACCCAGTCCTGCACCAGCTGTCAGTCTTCAGAGCATCTGGGACATCCACCAACAGACTCTGTAGAGAGGATGGGTCATGTTGGTTATTCTGGCAAGTAGGTTAAGTGAGACTCAATTAAAAGAGCCCCTGCTGATGGAAATACATATGCAGTACATATTTGTATGTGCAAACACTTGAAGTCAAATAAATACTTGTACGGAAATAATTTTGCTTTTCTGATCCATTTTTCTTTTGGCTCAACTTTTTCCAAAGACTGGTTCTAATTTGAACTGGTTCAGTAGGATTTTAAAAACAACAAATTTGATTTGTTTTTAGTGCAGAAAAAAATAATAATAATACTTGTGTTGGGTTCAGAGTTCAGCCAGTTAGTGAGTCCTTTTGGGTTTGTGAGTCATATTATCCTGTCCACATTACTCACAGTGAGGGATGATTCAAAACCAGTGCTTTTTTTTCTTCTAGCTCAGTGTCTAAAAATGCCTCAGGCCTCTTTTGTCCTTGTTTTAAACAATTCTGAAGTGAGACTTATTGGGAACTAAAAATCATGAACAGGAAGAGCCTGACGTAAAAACCTGATATCTCTTAATTCTGATGTTGAAGATGGCATTTCTTTCCCTTTCCCTTGCATGGTATCAGTGTTGATTGAACACATTTTGACTTCATTGATAACTGATTACCTTAGGAACAGAAAACACCAGTATTTCTGGATTAGTCACAAAGGATCCATGGAGCATTCTTTTCAAAACCTAAGGACAATTCCTTGGGAACCTGAGAGTGGAGCTCTGAGGACCACTCAGCATGGCCTGTCCTCTCTTCCCGGACCTGGGCACCGACTCCACCATCAGAATGGAAATACAGTCAGTGGCACGCGCAGGGCACTGCCTGGTTCACTTTGATTCTTCCCGTGGTGCCTTCCTCTAGGGGCTTTCCTCCCACTGCCTTGTTTCCTTGTGCTGTTTCAAGATGTCCAAATCCCCCTTCTAGCATTAACCATGTGGTACTGGATGAAAGTTGAAGACAATGAATGAGTTCATGTCTAATTTAATATAAGTAAAAATGGATCTATATCTATGTCTACAACTATACCGAATCTATACTTTACCTATATCATCCACTTAGGTATATGTCTACATATAGATGTGTGTGTACATATTTCCTAGCTCTGTCCACTGAGTGGGCCTACAAGCAATGACACCCAATCACCCAATAGCAACAAGCACACCCAGCAGCCAGATCTTGACTTCTAATACCATTCTCTCTAACACCGTAAAAAGAACCAGGGCTCCTTGGAAGAATGGCAGATTCTAGGGCTTGAGAAGAGAGTATGCAAGATGAGCCTGGAGCATCTTGTAGTGCCAGAAAGTAAAGAAGTACTAGCAAAGTGAAGGGGTATGTAAAAGGGACATAGGAGCCAATGAAAGAGCTCCCAGTAACACAAAGCTGAACCAATTTGAGCAAAATAAATAATGTAGCATGGGATTTGCACCTAAAGTACAAAATAAATATTCATAAGTCTATACTGATATAAATAAATCATTGAACAAATAAATAAATGGGGGAGAACAGACTACCCTCTTGAACAGAAGAATCCAAGAAGAAAAATTTATGTAGATACTGCTCCCTCAAGGAGGCACGATGTAACTCCCTATCCCTTGAGTGTGGGCTGTGCACAGTAACTTCCTTTTAGCAAGTACAGTGGAGATTCGCAACAAACACTGTCTGAGCCAGATGACCAAGGTCAACGTAACAGTGGTAAAAGTGCATACCCTTGATATGCTGTGATGGGAATGGTGCTTTGCCCCTGTGATCTTCCTCCCCAAAACCCATGATCCCAGTTTAACTATGAGAAAAATATCAGACAAACCCAAACTAAAGGACATTCTATGAAAGTCCTGCCTTTAAAATTCAAAAAAAGGGATTCTCATGGGAACCTGGAACAGAAAAATGACATTAGGTAAAAACTAAGGAAATGTGAACAAAAAATGGACTTTACTCAATTATAATGTATCAGTATTAGTTCACAAGTTGTGGCAAATGTACCACATTAATACTAGCAATATGGGAAATTGGGAGTAGGGCATATAGGAGCTATGATATAATGACAACTTTTCTGTAAATCTAAAATTTACAGAGATAAAATATAAAATAAAATAAAATAATAAAATAAAAGTTTCTTTTGAAAAATCCCCCCGGCCACTTTTTCTTTCTCCTGCCCCTATGTCTTCCCATGTAACATACTGGTCTGTCCCCGCTACCCTGGTCGTGCAAGAAATTGCAGTGGCTCAGACAAGCAGCCTTGACATCTATCTATCTGAATTCACCATGGCAGCTCTTGCTCGTGGGCACGGACAGCCAAATACTATTTCTCATTTTCTGGCACCCTTATTTCTTGGCTTGTCTGACTTCTGGGGGCTTATTCTAGGCACTCTAATTGGCTGTCATGTGGTCTGAGAATAGTTTGTTTGCAGCCTGGGAGTCTGGTGGTGGGCCTCTTGCTGCTGGAGGAGCCGGACTGCACTGCTGGGCAGGCACGCATTGCCCTGTGGGTGGGGACGCAGGTCTCCCACGGGCTGTCACATCTCCTGAAGGCAGCCTGGGTGTCTCTCTTCTGCTTCCTTGTGCTTCCTCACTATCTATCTCCACGTATATGATTAAGAACTCTTGTCTCATCTTCTGGACCATTATTCTCATCTATTTTTCCTTCTTAATCTTCACTCTCGAACATTATCCTAAGAATAAAGATTTTATAAGGATTGACTATGTGGCTATATTGTGTTTATATATAAGTGTTTAGAGAGGCATAACTTAGAATAAGAAGCCTTTTGGTAACAAGGCATTTTGTCTAGAGAAGTGTTACTTGAGTGGCTCCTTATAGGTAAAATAGGTTGTACAGTATGTACAATTCCATACTGTAGATCTGTGCAAATTAGCAGAAGGCGCCCTCTCTAGGCAGCTGCAGCCCTGCAAGCAAAATCTGATGGGGAACAAAGGTGAAATTTCAGGGCCCAAACATGCCCTCAGCCAGGCAGCCTTGTGCAGTAGACAACATACACAACCATTCTTTGTGACCTTGAAATGTCCCCGTAGGTAGTAGTAACCCATTGCCCTGGGGGAATAATGTTCAGGATAATCACTCCGTATGTAGGTACCTGGGAACAGGATGCAAATTGTCTTGGAAATCTGCTGGAAGAAATGGTTAAGACCCACCCCAAGTGGAGTGCTGGAGTCAGCTTCTCTTGGTTGGTGAGAGCCAATTGTTTTTCAGGAATTTTAGGAGTTAGTTATTAAGCCTAGTCATAATTTAAAAAGTGTACAAATTAAATTATGCTGATACAAATGTAATGAAAACTCAAAGTTCATTACTTCCTAATTACTACATTTTACTATCATCTGTGCTCTTAAAGTTATTTACATCTGTTGTATCTGTATGGTGAAAATATATATACTGGTGCATTATTGCTCATCTCTCACCAACTCCATGTCCACTGACATCATGTCAGTAGCTCTCACTGGCCATGGTAGGAGTATTTACACCATGGAAATCAGCAGGTGCTGCAAATCAGCTCCCCCTCCCACAAGACGGCCGGTTGTGAAACATTTGCCATCACACCGCAATCTCTAACTGGAACCCAATGGGACCCAGGATTTCTAGAAACTCTGATACAGTCACATGGTCACCTTTTGGGAAGGGACACCAAAATCCTCAAAGAACTTACCATAGGGACAAGGAATTTTAGTTGGGCTGGGGATCCAGACTCAGTATAAAGTTTAGAAATTCCAGGGAGGGTGGGGTGTTCTGGGACTGTGCATGGCTGGTACCACCCCTGACTCCCGACCCAGCCACACTGGGAATCGTGGGGACCATGGAGCTGTGGACAAAAGAGGTAGAACCTTGGAGCCTGGATATGGGACACCCCCATGGGTAGGAGAGGGTGGTACCTTAAAAGTACTTAGAATAACACCCACACATCTCACCATTTCTAGACTGCCTCTGCTCTTTCCCGGATCTTCCATGTTCCCCTAGCTGACTTCTCTGCCCCAAACCCCCTCTGCCTGACATCAGGGTGGTTCCTTTTTATCCTCCTCTGAGAGGCCTTCACTGACTGGGCATGTGAAGCAGTTTCTGTCTGCCTCCCTCCCAGCCAGCCCCCATCAGATTACACCATCCGCTTATTCCTTTAATGCTTGGTACCATAATCTGTGATTGTTTTCTGGAAAGTGTTTGTGTCCCTCTGGGCAGGGAGCTCCCTGACCGGCTCACCCTTGCATCCTCAGCAGCCAGCGCTATGCTGAGCTCCACTGGTTCTCAGTTGGTGCCCACTGAATGGCTGGAACAGGAATGAGCCAGTTGCCCTCTAGCCCTTTGGATTTGATGAACCTGCATGCTGGTGTGGGGAAGGCCTAGACTGGAGAGGAGACAAAGGACAAAGGATTGTTTTCTCGCAGTCTCAGACCCCAGAAATATGCTTACGCTGTGTGCCCCGGGCAGCACAAGGTAGCCTGTGGGCAGTGGTGGAGGAAGGTGTTTTGCTCATTTGATGTCATGAGGGCATGTAGGATCTCAGCAGCCTGAGCCGGCCCTGGTCTCCTGGCAGGAGAAGAAATAAGAGAGTTAGAGGTCAGAGAAGAGTAAGAAGGAAAGTGGCCCATGCCACTTACAGGGACACAGAGGAGGGCTCAGAGGAGCGGTCGCTTCAGATGCAGGTCGCTAGGGTTCCTGCCCTGGCCCCTCCCAGGAGTGTAATGCTCTGGCCCTCCTCCAGCTGCACCCCTCCCTGGGGGGAGTCTGAGTGCCATGGAGACACATCTGATTGCAACTTGAACCCCTCTCTCTAGACCTTGCACTAGAGGCATGAGCCCTCAGAATTGCCCACCCACAGGCCCTGAGCTGGCTTCCAGGCAGGAGAGCGCCCCTCCCCAGGATCCTGACAGGGTTGTGGACAGACCCAAACATGTGGACCGAATTATCCCCATGGGCCCCTCAGAACCTGGGGCAGAGCCAGAAATGGGAAGAGCAGGGGGAGGTGGGCTGGGACCCACAAATGTTTGTGGTGGGCCTCCATGCAGGAACCAGCTGGGGCTCTCAGAGCTACTGAGAGGACCCAGGAAGGGCCTGGGGCTCCCATTGTGGATCGTGGGACTGACTCTCTCTGCTCCTCAGGGGGAGGTTAGCGTCTACACTGGTTCACCCAGGCAAGCATTCTGAGGTCCGTTTGACCTGCCAAGGTGGAGTGACTTGCTGTGGACAAGCAGCCCTGTGGAGCCCAGTCAGGACTCAGACAGGATTTCAAGGGGACCTGTATGGGTGGTCACCACATGCGCCCGTAGGACCTGCTCTCCCCGATGCAGCCTGGGGGTGGGATTCAGACCCTCCCTACCTATCCAAACATTGGTGGCAAGAGCTGGGGTTTCCTCCAGTGGCCTCGAGGAAGGGGGTGAAGGGTGGGGGACAGGGCTGCACAGTGGGAGGGTGACACGTGGTATTGCTCTCCCCTTTCTTCCATTTTTGTCCTCTCTACCCTCCTCCCCACAGGCAGGCCCTGCCCTCTGAGACTGGAGAATTGGGGAGCAGTGGGGGGGGGCCTGGGTAGGGCAGGGGTGTGTGGAAGGGTAAAGGAAGAAATTCCTGGTCCTGCCATGGAGCGGGAAGGGTTGGGTAGGAGGGACAGACCAGACCGGGGCTCTCTTGTGAGGCGGCCCCCAGTCAAGCACATGGAAAATGGTTTCTGTTTGTGAGTGGTAAGCAATATTCAGAAGCTACAGAGAGTGCTACCTGATGCTTGCTCTACAAAGTTTTGAAGAAATCATTCATGGATCTGAGTGAGTGTGGCAAAGGGCATGGGCATTAGAGTTGGAAGGACTTGGGTTTGAATTCTGACCCTGACATTTTCCCTGTGTGACCTTGAGCAAATGACTTCGCTTCTCTTTCTTGCTCAGCCTATTTCTTCACCTGCGAAATACCTTCTTATTCTTCTCTGCATATATCATGGCCTTCAACAATCTCAAACAATGGCTGTTTTTACTAGATCTCTTTTCAGTCCATTGGTTTGTTTTTTTGGTCCTTGTTATAAGCTCAGGTCTCAAGTTCTGGTTGTTCTGTTTCTGTTTTTAAAAGCACATCAGCTTGGCAACAAATACGTAAATAGGAATATGTTCGGTCACTGAGCTGGGCTCTAGAAAACCATTTTATGTGTTAAAGTTCATAATGACAACAGTGACTCTTATGTAGATAAACCAGTGCGTTAAGGACACAAATGTTAATGTAACTTCTTGATTTGTCGATCATGATTTTATAGCCACAAGAAAGACACACCATGCATATATCCTTAACCCAAGTGTTTGGGCTATTTGCTGTATGTTAATTACACCACCACAATGATCTCCCAAGGCCCAAATATAATCATGTTCCTCACTCACTTAAACATCTCCAGTGACCTCCATTGTCCAAAGACCCAAGCCCACTTTTAGCAGGCAACACCACTGCTAATGTGATCCAAACATACTCTTCAGGAACCTCGTGACCTGCCTCACCAACAGGGGAATGGATTTGACCTTTACTGAACACACCCTCTGAGCCTCTGCCCCTGCTCTTCTTTCTTTGTTTCTCTGGAAAGCTTCTATATATTCTTCAAAACCAGCACAAATGCATCTCTGAGAAGCATTCCTCAATTCCTCCAGGCAGAGCCATGTGTTCCCTCTTCTGGCTCCTGGGCAGGGAGCTTTACATGCCTGTGTTAATGTACTTACAGCCTTCTGTTGAATATTGGAGGCATCTGCCTATATACTGGCCTGGGAATGAGCTCTTCTCAGTTTCCTCAACTGATAAATGGGAATAATATTAACCTCATAGGGCTGTTGAAAGGGTTAAACATGGAAGTATGCTACTCAGCACGGCCAGACACAATCCAATGGACCATAGCTATAATTATTGGACCTAAGTGTCCTTGTTCTCTTGACAGACCTCTCTATATCCAGCAACACATGGCAATGAGACAGATATCTTGGGACAAAGATTCTGTTGGTATGGAACCAATCCATCCAAGAGTCAGACCACTGACCTTGATCCTTTTGGCACTATGTCCAGCCTAACTGTATTTGAAGATTAGATGGAAGACCAAGTGGGTCAAATGTCTAGAGAAGCAAGAACCATTTACACCAGGTAGCAGATGAGCCAATTTTACCCCTCGTTACATCTCACAGAGGCAAGTCAATCATTGCCTTGCTGCTAGCCTTGATTACTGCCCTTGGTGATTATTAATAAATGTTACTTTCTGTATTTCCCAAATATATTTTAATTTCACAAGAGAATAAGACCCAAAATTAATCAACCCAGCCTTTGGAAGAGCAGCTGATGGAAGCATAATCCATCAGCTTTAACTAACACTGAGGCTTTGAAACAGAACACACAGAAAGGAAATCAGCGAATTGCTTAAGTCTCCCTGTCCCTTAACTATTCAATCTTTACCCAGAACATACACACCCCTGTGAGATCCATAATCTTCAAATTTTATTATGAATGCGTATATTTTTTTCATCAACTGATTTTATTTGTGCACAGGCAGCATTCAGCTGCCACACTAAAGGAGAATTAGGAGATAGCACAGATACTTGCTAAGCCAACATTCAGGGCGACCTGCCTAAGTGCCTTGAGGCCGCTGTCCTTAACTTACACAGCTTGGCCTAGCTACACATCTCAAGCTGCCAGGAAAATAAACCAGGACCCTTCAGGGTTTTTTGGGCTGAGTTATATTTGCAAATCTGGTTTGGAAGGGGCTCTTGACAAAGGTGCTTCCTCCCTGTGCTTCCGCTGTTCTGGCTTGGTTTAGCACAAGAGGGCCACCAGCAGTTTCTGGAAGTCCCCAGAGGTGTCTGAGCGAACCATGTCAGAGAGAGATTTCTGATACTTCTCCTGGAACTTTGCTTTTATCCCCTGAAGGTCCACCTGTAGGAGAGTAATGGGGAAAAAGACATTTATAGCTTGTTCCCCAGGAACACAGGTAAGCACTGTTGTGAGTATGTTATACTCGTTAGCCCTTGAGGTAAGGACCATCATTATTCCTATTTTGTGGGTAAGAAAAGGCAAGCTCAGTTCAGCTCTCCAGAGAGAGAGGTGTGTGTGTGTGTGCATATATAGTCCAGTAGAAATTTATCGATAGACATTAAAACTAATTTGATATGATTTTTATGTGTTAAAAATATTATTTTTCTTTTGAGATTTTTTTTACAATCATTTTTAAATGAATCGGTCTTAGGTAGTGGGACTGTACAAAAACAGGTGGTGGACCCAATTTGGTCTACAGGCCGCAGTTTGTTGACTCTTAGACAGGGTTTTTAGAAAATTGTCAACATAGAGATTTGAAATGAAACTTTTGTTTTGCTCTTGTATCCTGATCAGTGAGGCTATCAGTGCCAGTCAACACATTCAAATCAATATCAATTTGTAGGGCTTATTTTGAATCTAATTTATTGGAAGCTTGAAAAACTTAGGTGATGGAGGTGGAGAGATGGCTCAGAAAAAAAATTGTTCTGCTCTAAAGACTCTTAGAAGTCAGGGAGGGAGATAATACTTGTAGAAAAAAAGATGTAATTGCACAAAGAACATTGTTGAGTCTCATAAAATAAGCACAGAGCTCTCCTTAACCAGGAGTTTTTTTTTTTTAATTTATACTCTATCTTGCATCTTAGACAGACCCACAAAGCGTCAGTCAGGCTTCTGTGTTCTTTATCTTCCTGCCCCAGTTAGAGGGCTGAACTAAGAGTGTGAAGGTTGAGTGCAGGAGGAGGTGGGAGAGTGAAGAGCTGTTTGAAGAGCTTGAGCAGGAGAAAGGCTATAGCAGGGGGACGGAGCGTCCCTTGCTCTCCTGGCTTGTACACTGCTCAGCTGGGGAGTGGGTGGGAAGGTGGAAGGGTCAGTGCATGGGGTGGGGTGCACTGGAGTCCTGTTCTGGTTCCGTGTGGCTTTGAGGAATTAGGGGATCTGACCAACGTATCTGCTGGGCCTGAAGCATCTCCCAGGAATAGTCCCCACGTGGAGATGACTGGATGTGTGCTCATTGCTGAGATGGGATGGAGCATCTTGGAATTAATTCCCCACAGCTCACATAGGAGTGAACGGGGGGCCCTGACAAGCCCTCCCGAGTGATCCAAACGCCTGGGTTCTTTTCGCAGCGTTGCCCTGCTCCATTGCCAACCTGTTGCTTTGAGCGCCTCAGGATCTCCCATGCTTTTGCCTAGGGGTTGAGTTGCTAAGAGACAGAGAGACAGAAAAGGCAGGGACCTAGGGAGATAGGGAAAGAGAGCTATTCCGAGCAACAGAAGGGAGAATGAGAGGTGCAGGAGAGTGGCAGAGAGACTGGGGAGGGAAAGAAGGAGGAGCAAGAGAAATGGACTTGAAGAGAAAGAAAAACATGAATAGTGGAGGAGGAGAAGAGGGGGAGGAGAAATTCCAGGAATAGAAGTAAAAAGGAAAGAACGGTCTTGTTGCTAAGTTATATTTTAAAACAGTGTCAGATGCTAAGTATTATTGTCAAAAGCTGTGGGTCAGAATTTGGACTGGTATCTTTTTCCCTTCATTCAACAGTTTTGGAGGGGAAGATGTCTGTGGTCTTTGGGTGCTCAGTGACCCTTCATGCTGCATGGCGTCTCCTACACAATGCCAGGCCTCGCGACTCCCCCCTGTGGCCCTGTATTCCAAGGCAGTCGTTATGAATCTTGACAGCTGCTCCCAAGCTTTCGTCTGCTCGCCTCCCTGCCCCATCCTTATATTCATGCCTTCTCAAAGGGGGATAAAATTGCTCCCAACAGGGCAAAAACTGATTCTTAGAGGGTAAAAAAACTTAATTTTTTAATGTAAAAGTGCCTCTGTCTGTAGATGTACAGTGCATATCTGTGGTGTAACATTCCTTGGGGGAGTTGGTGATTGGGAAAAAACTGGGTCCAAAAAGACTCCTTAGTGGGGTGATCAATAATAAAAAAAGAAGGGTTGAGAAACGTTTGTACTGATGTGTTTCTTGTTTGAAATTGTGCTTCAGTGGTGCTTACTATTAAATAAAAGAGTGGCTCAGGAGTTTGGAAATTATCCTTATATTCATGCCTTCTCAAAGGGGGATAAAATTGCTCCCAACAGGGCAAAAACTGATTCTTAGAGGGTAAAAAAACTTAATTTTTTAATGTAAAAGTGCCTCTGTCTGTAGATGTACAGTGCATATCTGTGGTGTAACATTCCTTGGGGGAGTTGGTGATTGGGAAAAAACTGGGTCCAAAAAGACTCCTTAGTGGGGTGATCAATAATAAAAAAAGAAGGGTTGAGAAACGTTTGTACTGATGTGTTTCTTGTTTGAAATTGTGCTTCAGTGGTGCTTACTATTAAATAAAAGAGTGGCTCAGGAGTTTGGAAATCATTTGCTCATTGTCTCTGTGGCTGGGTGACCTTGCCTTTCACTAAGGTTTCAGTGTCTCTGTTTTGTCTTCCTTAAAATGGAGCAGAGCGCTGCTGCCCTACCCAGGACGGCACCACCAGGTTCCCTGTGCACACCGCCGTGAGCGCTCTGGAGCCAGATGGCAAAAATAGAAGCAATGATCATTACTGTGTTTTTATAAAAAGAAACAGATTGAAGCATAGCACGATGTCTTCCACGAAGTCTGGAAAGGCACAGGCTGTCTCTGTTTTACTTTTTCTGTAAATAGGCCCTTAAGAGAAACTATTTGTTGACAACATCGGTGGTGGCAAAAAGAGAAGTTACAGCCCACCTCCCTGGAGTCCATTGTCTTACCTCAGCCCTGGTCACAATGATGTGAATTAGTGTCTCCTCATCGGTCCCCGTGCCCTTCATGGACTTGTACAGACGTTCAGCAAAATAGCCCTCCTGGTCCCGGGCACACCTCACTGGGTGGGATGAGGGGAAAGAGATGGTGAGGCTATGACTTGGCCCCTCTGAGGGAACAGAGCCTGCCCAGGGTGCCGCCTGGCTGCCCTTGGAGCTGACTGAATCATGAAGCAGAAGTTTGAAAGTAATGAACTTCCCCTTGTAGTGTATGGGATCTGGAAGATTCCCCTGGGTCAGGGCACCTGTCCTTCCAACCAGAACTCAAAACCCCTTCAGACCAGTAAGAACCTCTCCTGTTTCCTGAGGACCCTTCAGGGAAGAAGGGAGGCTGTGGCCACACTCAGGCTCTCCCCGCAAAGTTCATGATTCTCACCGGCAGAAACAACTTTTCATATTGAACCGAAGTCTCGATGCTGGAGTCAAGTTCAGAGGGAACTTTGGCCGGCAACTTTGCCGTAATAAAACTTGACAGTCTTGAAGATTCATTCCATTGGACTGTAGCCGACTTTTCTGTGCTAAACAACCTTCCTTCCCTTTGTTTTTCCTCGCTGGCTTTGCTTTGTGAGCCTCGGCTCTGAATCTTTTCCAAGTTCCTTGCAGTCTTCTTGGTTTGAGATCTGGAATGCGGGCTTGATGAAACGCTTGCTCCTATCTACAGATCACTATCCTATGATGCTGTTAAGTGGCTTTTTTCTGGCCTTCCCCTTGCCCACCAGCTTTGATCTGATCCACAAATTAATGAAGCATGGTTTTGGTTCACCAACCGGGTGATAGGATGCATCTATACTACTGGGGAGAAATCATTATTCTTCTCCCCTCCTCCCTCGCTCCAACATGACTAATGCTTTGTGTTAATGAACTATTTACTCTTCAGGCTGTTGACATTTACCTACAACACTTAACATTTTTTTATGTTAGCATAATAACAAATACTAAATTCAGTGTAAATGTGGGATGTATGTCCTTTATGTGTCCTGTAATGGGAACTCTTGTTTTCTAGGTAACTGCCTGTATGATTGATGCTTACGAGCCCTGGAGAGGAACAGAATTACAGAGGCAGAGTCTAGGTTAGGGGTCTGTCTCCTTCTTTTAAGGTCATGTGGCAGCCACCAGAGCTTCAGTGGAAAAGCAAAACTCAGACCCAGGTGTGTGACCTCTTATCTGGAGAACAATTCAAAAGCTGCTGGATTGGTGGTGGTTGTGGGGGGAGCCTGTCAATCTGGGGAGTAGCCTATTTGAGATTCCCTGAAGACCCTTTCCCATGAAGGAGATGAATGCTAATCGGCGCTAAAACGATTGTCAACCTAATGTAGGTGTGTTCCATACATATGTAAGAAAATTCACAACTTTTATACTGTATAAACCTGTACCTGGTGAATAATGTCTGTTAGCAGTGGCAGAAATCCCTCAAGAATTTGGATGGGGCTAGGTAGGGAAGTTGTGGGAATAAGCTGTTTGCAGGGGGCAGAAGGCAGGGCAGCCCGCATACCTCCTCCCCCTCCTTGCCTTCAGATCAAGGGTTCTCAAACTCCAGGGGGCATAGGACAGGCCCTCGTGGAGCTTGGAAAGGGTGGCTTCCTGGCTCCATTCTGCGAGATTCTAAAAGGGTAACCTGGAGTGGGGCCCAGGGACTTGCATTTTCACATGCCTCTCCAAAGGTGGTCCTGACGCGGTGGTCCACGGACCCCTTTGAGAAGCACTGCTCTGGATGCTGCTGGTGGAGGGAGTCATTTGGTCTCGTAGCCCCTCCTCCTCGATTTTAGCCATAAACTGGCATCTTTGTGAGTTAGGTGGGAGTTGAGTGGGGCGTGTCTAGAAAATATGATTGTGAAGTCATGTTCAACAGTTTGTGTGTTTTATTCTCCAGGTCTTTTCTAGCCACCTTTAAGTTTGTTACCACTGGAGTCTACCCAAATGCTGCATTTCGTGGTCTCCATCTCAGGGCTGGGGAGGCCTTTCCTTCTTCTGTACCCTCCTTGCTCTGGCTGTTTTTGTTTTATCTTTACTGTAGCCTAATCAGTTGACTTGCGTGTATTCACCATAGACTTTAAGCTTCTTAAAAGCAGAATCCAGACCTACTTCCTTCTGATCCCCACGTCCAGCACAACCCCTGCCCCAGGCAGGCACTTAGTAAATGTTAAAGATTTGAACCGTTTTTTTTACCATTAATAAATTAAAAATGGTTTTTACCATTAATAATTAATATTAACAAAGATTAATGTTAGTCTTCTGACTGATGTCTGGTATTTTTCTGATTCTCTGCACTATAAGCACAGAAAGGATTTGGAGCCTCTGAGTTGGGCCATGAGTAAATCTCTTTACTTAAAAGACTAATCCTTTAAGCTCTGAGGACAGTGGTCCACGTGTATCCAATATGGGTCAGTAGTGACACTTCGGCCTCTGTACATCACAGTGTAGAGATCATGCTAATTGGAATGCAAAATGATGGATTTTTTTTTTTCACACACACACACACACACACACACACACGAGCCTGGCAGCCAGAGCACATTTTTTAACTTCCATGGCTGCTTTCTCAGTTCTTCTTCTTCTAGGGATCTGTTTCTCCATTTCTTATGCCATTTGGGATGGTGCCCTGGACTCCTTGCCATAGGAGTGTGGACAATGGACAATGCCTTCATTCCAGGGCTTGCAAAAGAGAAAAAGGAGGCTGCCAGGTACAGCCCCATGCCCGTCTCACTGCTATTTCCTGCCTGTGGGCAACACCTGGAGAGAAGGTCCTGGCATTTGCTTGGCACAGTGAAGATCTGGGCTTCCTTCCTCTCTGTCTAAACAGACCTCATTCACTCCAAATGTTGAAGGGAACCACATGGAAAGGGACACCCTCAAGCCATCAGGCATGTGCAGAAATTTGTTCATGGATCCAAAGCTTGGGTACTTTTGAGTACATGTCATACTAACCCCATACTGCTTTCTGAGGCTAGACAATGGTCCCATGCTGTGGACACGTGCCCTCGTCAGGGACTGAGGCCCTCTTTCCAAATGTTGCCTACTGGCTGCTCCCTGCAGAGTCTCTCCCCGGGAAGGGGCCTCTGAGGAGCTGCCTTACTCAAGGTTGCAAATGCTTCTGGGCGGCAGCTGATGTCCACTGGCTGTTTGGTGTGGGGAGCAAAGACCTGGCCTACTTGTCTCCAGTTTGGACATCCTGCCCTGAGGGAGCAGCAGAGCCCCTATTACACCTGCCTCATGTTCACTCTCCCGATGCTGCTTAGGTGTGTTGGTCCCTGAGCGATTCCCTAAACTCTTCCTATAAGCAAACCTCTGTCTCCAAGTCTGATAGGGAGCCCAGCCTAAGCCAGGGACTCTCCTAGCTTTATCTTACCGAGAGTTAAGTAGGCCTTCTGGAGATCTCCCGATGTTTCTTCTTCGATAGCCTCTTCAATGTCTTTGCCGATGAGCTGGAGAGACAAGCAAAGGCCAGCTGTTATTTCAGGTTTTGCTTTTGGCTGTGGCACTCTTGGGGTTGTTTCTCTACAAAAAGCACTAAATTCTCCCAGATTTGGTCATGTGTCTTTAAGGAACTCCCATCCAGCCTCGCGCCTTGCAGGGCTGGGGCTGTTGCCCCATTTGAGTGGGGTTCTCAGGGCTGAAGAGTTAGTCCAGTTTGACCCCTCATGGATTTGACCCCAGCCAGGACCAGTCTCTTGGCCATGATTTCCTTATCTGTAAAATCAGGGAGTGGAAGAACAATGAATATATACTGTCACAATAATTCTTTACATTTATATAGACCTTTAGTTTCTAATACATTTTTAAAATTCTTTTCATTTCCAGTTTTCTAGAAGGTTGTGATTATGATCATTTTACCCACACCTTCCTCATCTCCCTTGCCCTGGGGCTGGGGACTAGTTGCTTACAGTTTGGGTGAAATCAGTAGAGGCTGTGAAGCTCGTGGTCTAACATTTCTGATAAGCTGGGGCTACATGCTGGAAGCCGGGGGGGGCTGACCTCATCAGAATGCTGCTTCCCTTCACTCTGGGGTGATTCTAAATGATCCTATGTTCACCACTGGCTCACATATTGCTCTGCACAGCATTCCACATCAGGTTTCTTTCCAAATATTTACAGAAACTGAAGTTCAGAGTAAATCATGACTGTGTTCAACGCAAGAACTGCCTGGGCCAAGCTCAGGGCAGGCAAATAAAGAGAAAGCAGAAGTCTTTGTCGGGTTTGGGGAAATGCAGTTCAGCATTAGAAATACTGAGACTTCTTTCTTAGAAATTACATTTTGATGATATGACACAATTGTGATTCTATAAATAATTGGGGCCTTGGAGGACACACCAGTGGAGTATAAGTAGTTTATTCTGGAAACACAAGTAAACAAGATACTCTTTTTGATGCAAGCATAATGGACATAGGGGGAGGAGGGCTGAGACCAAACAGGGGCCTGCTGTTTGATCCACTTGTCATAGTTTGCACACTTAGAGGTCTGGTGTGTGTGATGGACCTAGAGTAGGAGGGGACTGGGATGGGGCTTTCAGTCCCACCCCAGACTTAGCTGTTCCCAGCCTTTTGGGTTGCTGGTATTTCAGAAGAGACTGGTATCACTTTCCCATGAACAGAGTTCTTGTTTTGTAGCCTAAGATTGCATTTCAAGAGGACATTTTGTTCACACAGGTCTGTGTTTACTAAAAAAAAAAAATGTTCACATTAAACCACTTTTTGTTTCTGTTGTTGATGCTGGACCAGAACAGTGCTTTTAATTTCTGTACGATCTCAGTCTGTACAAGAGATAAGAGCAGAAAAGCAGTTGCTCTGGGGAGGTTGGGGATGGGTTCCTTACCCTAGACCAGGCAGTAGTGTCATGTTCTGCCCTCTCGGGCCACAACTCCAGGGGCCACTCTTCACATATTATGTGATGGTATTGCCTGCTCTTCTTTACCTCCTTCCTGCACCCAGCCCCCTCCTGGTAGCTACCACGGCATCTCCAGGGGCACCATGGAATACAAACGGAGATCAATTGGCTGGCCCTGTTGCAACTGTCTTTTGCAAATGCCAGGCTTCTCACTTCCCTTACTGGAACACTTAATTCTTAGGGGGCTCTATGAACAGACCTGGTTTTCTGACTAGAATGAAAACACATTACCAGGGTGGATTCCAGAAAGGCTCAGAGGCCTTTGACTAATCAGGTAGTATTGCTTATTGGGAGGTTATTAGAAGAAGAGGAGAGACATTTCTTTCTTTTAAAACCAATTCCACAAATCGACAGCATGCCCCCATGTGCATTCTGCTTTGACCGCAGCAGTCACGGGGCTAACGGCTCCGGAATGGGCTTAGGGACACCTGAGGGGGAGGCGGTGGGGAGGCAGTGAGCCTGGACTGTGAGTCTGCGCACCTACAGCTCATAGTGCGCCCTGTTTGGGGAACGTACTTCAGCCTTTCCACTGTAGGAGCCTCTCATGTTGGGTACGCTTTGGGACTGTAATTGTTTTGCGTGATGCAGCAGAACTGGGGAAGCTCTGGTGCTTGGTGGGGAGCTCTGGGAGTGCCAGCAGCTAAGACCCAGGCCTCGAGGGCACATCAAGGGCCAGACTGAGTTTTCATGCCAAAAACTAAAATTCAACTCTTTGCCAGGACAACTATGTCACATAATACACTCCAAGGGTCATATGCTGGCCTTTTAGTGCTTTTAGCCATAGACCATGAGAAAACTTACAAACCAGGGTCTTACGATTAGGGTGAACTCCAAAAATATCAGTGGAAATGATCGAGATGAATGGTGTTTCAGCAAGGTGGTTGGCATGGGAGGATAGGTAGCATTTTAGAGCTGGTTTCATATAAAGAATCATCACTTCAATAGATTATTTTATTGTCCATCTGAACTTTCACTCTCGTTCTGAATGTTATTGGTTCACATAGGGAGACCCCTCAAAATTGCTAATGTTCTTGAGCACCTGTCACATGCCAGGTAGTAAATGCTTTACTTCTGTTAATTCATTTAATTCATAAGTAACCCTATGAAGCAGGTGTTACTATTATCCCCATTTTACAGTTAGGGATACTGAGGCACAAAACCCTTAAAACTTGCCCACAGTCGAATAGCTAGTAGCCTAGAGCAGACCTCTTACACTTGAACATGCATCAGAATCACCTGGAAGATTCATTAAAACTGTAGGACCTGTGCACCTTAGGGAACTTGATGGGGACTGAGAATTCTGATTTTTAACGTATTCTCAAATGGTAGTGATGCTGCTGTTTTGGGTGGTTAATTTTGAGAATGATAGGCCTAGCAAGCATCTTTGCAGGTTGTCAGTAGTTCACGTACAGACACCCGCTCACAGGTATGTGTGTTCGCAGTGGTCCTCAATGCCAACCATCCCCAGGAACTCCACCCATGGCCCAGTCACGTGGAAAGGGGGTCTAGGCCATGGAGATGTCTTCCAGCTCAGCATCTACACAGCTCTGGGCATAGCGGCCAGGGAACCGCAGGGTCAGCTGCCTTTGATCATGACTCTGGGCATGATTTGAAAGCAGAGGGCCCTGAAGGCTTATATACAGTAATAATTAAATTCCTAAATATCATTGTCTTTTCATCTGCTGGCAGCACATAGAAAATGCTCTTGCGAGTGAGGAGCAGCCAGCTGCAGCTGAGGTGGGAGCTTAGGCTGGGGAAATCTTGGAGTTCTCATCCACTTTCTGCTACCGACTTGCTGTGTGGTCCTGATAAGTTACAGATGGTTCCTTACTCATAACAGACTTCCCTTGTGCAGTCGGGGGTAATAATGGCTGTTCAGCCTGAATTGTAGTTATGGTATTGTTGTGAAATTGAAATGAGATAGAGGACACTGAAGTGCTTTGGATAGTTCAAAGCACTCTACCAATAAAAATAGGAGACAAAAAAAAATCTGATAATCCAGAAAGGCTTCTTGTGATTAAAGATCTTCAGGGAAGAACTCACACTAAGTGCCTTGAAACAGCTAACTCACATTGTTGGCTTAAAATTATCATTAGATAAAAAATGATTGTATAAATGTAATTTTTATGCAGCTTTTCAGGAGTGTATCTCTGAGATATATCACAGCTGTCTTGGGAGTGGTAGGCACTGTTAGCTCAACTGTATATTGGAATAACAAGAGCAAATATCTGTGTGCTTACCACATGCCAGGTACTGTTTTGAGCCTTTTACATTTATCTTATTTAATCCTTAAAGTAACCTCATGAGGTGTGATGGTGATGATTTTACAAATCAGGATGGAGACGTTAAGTCACTTGCCAGCGGTAGAGCCAGGATTTGAACTTGGACTTGGCCCCTCTGACTCTTGGGCTTTTGCTCCTAAACTTGACACTCCTCTGCTTTCTAACCTCTGTTGTAAAGCAGGATTTGCCAGTCTCGGCACTACACTGGGGCTGGGCAAGTCTTTGTGGTGAGGCTGTCCTGTGCATTATAGGGCACTTAGCAGTGTCCCTGGCCTTGGCCCATTAGATGCCAAAGGCACTGCTCCCCACCACACTTCCTGTGACAATCAAAAATATTTCCAGGTATCATCAAATATCCCTTGAGAAGAGGCCCCAAATCACCCCTAACTGAGAACCACTGTTGTGAAACATCTCCGTTATACCCCAGATCTTGGCTTCTTTGGGAAATAACTGAAGACAGTTTCAGTATGAACTCCGTTGCCCTAGTACTTGATTACTTACAATTTGATAGGCTTGAAAGGTGGCACGTAACTGCTTGTGGCTCCTCTTGGCCAGGACGTCACTGAAGGCAAGCTCGTCAGTGCCCCAGCGGCCTTCCCCTGCCTTAAGGGTCAAATGCCAACATTTTGAAAAAGCCTTTAGTGAAAAGACTGAATATATGGTGCTGTGACCAGGCCTCACTTACAGGAAATTATATAATATACACTGAGTAGAAGGCAAATTGACTGACTAAGCACGTTAAGCTTTTACACTGAAGTGTATATGGTATACATCACATATTTATTTATATTACTTATACCCCCCTTGTTCCAAATGGATCTGGGGTGGCTAACCCCAGACTATAAGAATAACAACAATTCTTTAAGGTTCACAAGGCTAAATATATGAAAAATATGTTAGAGATCATATTTATTCCCCAAGCAACACACATTCACATGAAATGAAGAAACATTTGTTGAAAATAGTGCCGATAAATTTTAAAAAATTTGCCAAGCCTGGTATGTCTGCACACTCACATCATATAGATCTTTGGCATCCTGACCAGCTAGGTCTTTATCCACGTCACTGCCTTCATCACGATTAGCCTAGAAAAATCGACACATTGTAATTCACCTGACTTCCTGCTTGACCAGAGAAAACAAAAAGAGAAAGTCCTGGAAACCTGGAGGTGATTTCAGAGCTGTGGCCAGAAGCAAGATTGAACCTGGCAGAGCAACACCACTGCTCTTTGCTGCCATCTTTTGGACTCAACTGAAAAAGAGTGGCTTGAGGGACAACATTTGCTTTTTTCTTTTTTGTAGAAACCAAGGCCACTCACAAACCCCACTGACAGCTAAGTGGGCTGAAAGCAGCATCAGGGTGTTCTCTAGAGTGAATCTGTTGGAAAGCTTCCTTCCAGAATATCAGATTTCACCTCTCAGGGTCCCAGTGCTGAAGAATCCTGAGAGGTGGTCAGGAAGGTCTTGGAATTCTAACCTAAGCCCTCAGCGGCAGGCAGAATTCTAAGAGGACCTCCAATGGCCCATGCCCTTGTATAATCCCCTTCCCTGGAGTGTGAGTGAAACTTGTGAAAAAGAGCTATTGCTCCTGTGATTATGTTATGTTAATAGGGCAAAGGGGATTTTTAGAGATGTAATTAATATCCCTAATTAGCCGGGTTAATCAGAAGAGATGTTGTCCCAGGTGGGTCTGACTCAGTCAGGTGAGCTGTTGAAATGTCAGAGATGGAAGAAGTCTGAGAGAGAAGCTCCTGCTGCCCTGGAAGAAACCAAACAGCCATGCTTTGAACTGTCTTTGGGGGCCATGTGGTAGGAGTGGACAGTGATCTCTGGTTGACAGCTAGCAAGAAAACAGGGACAACAGCCATACAGCTGCAGGGAACTGAAATCTGCCAGTGACCAGCAAGCATGGAAGATGACTTGGGCCTCAGCTGAGATCACGGCTCTGGGTGACACCTTGACTTCAGCCTGGTGAGAGTCTGAGCAAAGGACGTGGCTAACCTGGACCCAGACGCCTGATCCGTGGACACTGCGAGATCATGGATCTGTGTTCCTCTGATTCACTAAGCTTGTGGCAATTGTTATGCAGCAGATCACTCAGGCACTCCTCCTGCCGTGGTTGAAGCCTGCTCTATGTGTTCTCTGCTCTTAGTCCATCCACGTGGAGAGAAATGAAACAGAGGAAAGGCACAAAGCTCATCAAGATGAGTGTGTGAATGAGGTACAGATGATGTCTGGCTGGAGGCCTGGGGGTTGTGTCCTAGCAGGGCCCTTTCTAAAAGCCCCGATTTCCTGGCTGAGCTTCCTGCAGCGGTTCTGACAGGCCTGGACTGGAGGTGAATCCTGGAAGTAAGTTTAGAGCTGTGTTGTGCAAAGGGCCCTGCTTGGGCTCCAGTGGATTCCTCCTGGGCTATGTCTTTCTGTCTTTGTAAACCTGGGCAGGTTACCCATCCTCTGCAGGCTTGAGTCCCCTCCTTGGCAATGTGAGGCGGGGATGTTTAATGAGACAGGTCATTAACAAAAAGGGACTGTAAGCTGTAAATGACTAGGCCGATCGTTGTTAATTATGGGAGAAATGCCAATTAAATAATTTTTCAATAGCTGCACTGGTGGAGCCTGGGCTGATAATCCATCAATAACATTTTTAATAAAGATGGAAATGTTTATTATTGCTGTTGCCTTTTTCACTGTGGTACCATGTTGCCAAAGGCTACGTCCCAAGATCATGAAGCAGGCGAGGCCTCTTTACTCCTTACCTGTAGCAGGGACACCAGAATCCTTTTAAGTTTTCCACTTGTATCATCTTTGACATCTGATTCAAGGCTCCTGTCAAATACTTGTAAAGAAGAAAAAAGGAGGGGAGAAAGCAGACGATTTAGCTTCCCAGAGGTATTTTGAAAGGGCTATGTTTTATCCAGAGTCAGAACAAAAAGGTCACTTACACCTTTGGTAGGCTTCTTTAATGGCGATGATTTCCTAGGAAAGGTAATAAAAAAAAATCAGTATTCTAAGGTGGGGCTAATCAATAAGAGACAAAGAGACACATAGAGGGGAGAGGCAGGAGCTTGATCTGGACACAGGATGCCTTCATGGGCTTATTCCAAAGAGGGCCATCACTGTGGGTCAGGGCCTAGGCCTGGAGCAGGTCCTTGCAAACATTTCGAGCGACACACTCTCCCTATGCATATATGTGCTACTGAAAATATATGGAATTGTTTTGCATATGTGTTTACAAAGTGGAATACTGTACATACTATTCTTAGATTTATTTTTTTCACTCAATAATATGTGTTTGGAGATCCAGCTATGCTTATCCATAGTCACCTAGTGTTTTTTAAGGATACAAAATGTTCCATCCTACAATAAGCCACGATATATTCAGCCAGCCTCTCATTGATGGACATTTAGGTTGTTTCCAGTCTTCCTCTATTTCAAACATTTAGGTTCTTTCCAGTTTTCCTCTGCTTCAAGAGAGCTTCATTCAGTCAACAATTTGCTGCTTGCAAGAGTGCAAGCTTCTCTCCAGACTGTGTATTGGAAAGAATCGCTTTATCTTCCAAAGGCTTGTGCTAAATGGCCCACTGAGGAATCGGTGTCCAAGAGTAGGTGTTTCCCTACAGCTTCACTAGACAGAATGCCTTGCTACCAAAAAGCTCCTTATTTTAAGTTCTGCCTCTCTAAACACTTATATATAAACACAATACAGCTGTTTAAAGTGAAAGTCAGAGGGCAGAGGTGGGGAAGAGGTGGTGAAGGTGCAGGAGGTGAGGAGCCTAGCTTCTGGGCTCTGGAGGGCGAGTGGGAGATGAAGGCTGGCAGGGGCTTGTGCCTCTGCACCGCCCTCCCTTCTTCCAACCCACGACCAGGATCTGCCTGGCTTCTAGGCCTCTGCTCTCCCTGCCTTTCTTCCCTTTACTCTCAGACCTATTTGATTAGTGGGGGAAAAGCTTTGTTTGTTAAGACCAGGACCTGAGAGGAACTAGGCTGAGGGGGAAGCACATGTGGTCAAACAAGGTGAGGAAAGTAAAGATCAGATGAACCTTCTTCCCAGGGCAGGCTGCTGATCGCCCTGATACTGGATGCGTCTTCGCTGGGACCCCAGTGCACATGGAAAGGCAGGGTGGGAGGGCTTAGTAACCAACGTTGGGAGACTGTTGGACTGAGCTGACGCCAGCCTCCTTTGCTAACCCTTCTCTAAAGCACAATCTTAAACTGCAGCTCCTTGAATCTGAGGGTTATATTATCTTGCGTGAAGAAAAGAACTCCGGGGATACTCAGAAAGGAGTTTACAGCTGTAGCTTGAAGCCTGGTGGGGCCTCTGGAAACACGGCTGGGCAGCACAGGCTGAGCCGAAGGAACCGCTCAGGGCTGTCGGCCCTCCGGGCTTTGCAAGCAGCGTTTCGGCGTCACAGTACTGTTTCAGCTTTCCTCGCTGGTTGCTCCAGCCACTGCCTCTGTTTCCTACCCCGACGCCTCAAGTCTGTTGGGGTTTTCTGGCACTTTCTTTGCTGGACCTCCCCATTCTAAGTGATAGATGGCTGTGGAAGAGGGTGAGGGGCTGGTCTCCAAATAATAGCTTGTGAACCCTCTTTACTCTTGATGAATTCCTTGGTCTTCATAGTATCTGGAACCAAAGACGAATGGGCTTCTCCTAGGGTTTTAACAAATGTCCCTTTCAGCTCCTGGAATGGTGGCGTGTACCCAAGGGACAAGGGGAGAGGACTGCCGAGGGAAGGATAGGGACACCTCTGGAGAGGTGCCAGCAGCATGGGGGGCATTCGCCTCTGCCCCACCCACCTCCCTGCCTCTTTTTAGTCTTTTTGGGACTCTACATGAGATGACAGCCACGGGCAGGGCAGCCACACAAGCGTGCTTAGACTGCTTATTGCATTATTCATGCCAGAAGACCCACAAAGTCAGCCTGGGAGGCCAAAAGTGGGATTGTGCCTCCTGCATATAAAATTGTGCATTCTGTTTAGAAAAACAAAACCTGGGTTGACACAGCTGTTCTGCAAGAATCTATTCTGTCAAGCCAGGGGCAGCAACACCAAGGCTGACAGCCAGAACATTGGGAGAGGCGTCTCTCTTGCATGGGGCAAACAGACACATTTCTGTCCAGACACTTGCTCACCCAAGGATGGAATGCGGGGAGTAGTTTTCCTTCTGGCTTCTGCAACCTGACTGTCCTTCTGGCTTCCACTAGGCATATGGACACTCCCTTAAGGGCCACATCTGGGGGTTCGGCTGGAACTAACCTTATTCGTTTTGGTGCACAGGACCTCGATGAGCACTGCCTCGTTCGTGCCCAGACCCTTCATGGCCATCTGCAGCTGCCGGGCATCATACTCACTGGGCCGGTCCAGAAGGGCCAATGCTGTCTTCTCGAAGTTTCCACTCAGATCACTCTTGAGCACCTCTGCCAGGTCCTGTAGGAAGATAGCAAGAGCCCTAACTGGGAATGGCCTGAGAAGAGAGGGACAGGTGTCTGCTCGCCCCAGCGCCTGACCTCAGTCAACAGAAAACCTGCTGTGGACACACAGGGGTGGTCTAGACAGAAGCCCTACAGGCACAGGTGACCTGCTGTGGAGGACAGTAGTCACCATGTCTGCCCATCCATCCATCTTTCCCCAGGACTCGCAGAGAGAAGACACCCTGTTCAGGGCTGGAGACCCCAAAGATGAATCACAATAAAAACCAGCATTTGCCAAACATGTTAGGGCTCAGAGGGCTTTCTCACTGATCCTCCAAATGGGCCTGGCATTGTCTCCATTTATAGGACTTCAAAAAGATGCAGAATGTGCCCAAACACTGGGCTAGAAAGGACTGAGACACAGGTTTGTTATTTCTAGGCGGACCAGGTCACTTATCATCCAAATTGGAATGGTTTTGAGAGTGAAGAGGCTGCTGTCAATAACCACAGAGGGACAGTAGGAACGAACAGGGACCACCCTGCACTAACCAGATGTGCAGTCACTTCGGTTTTCTTGTCAAATCCCGACAGGGACCCATTTGGGAAAGGCTCCGGCGGGGAGGAGACGTATATAACATTCTCACAGGCACCCTGGTTTTGGCAAGCATCCATTTTCAAGGATGTTTTTGGCAAATGCCATCGTATTATTAGAAGCGAACTGCCTGCTCCGACCTGTCTTCCTCTGGCAGGATGGTGTGATGAGCGAAAGGGTCAAGAGTGGTGTTCAGCCTAGTGAGAGTCGCCAGCGTCCCGATTTAAATGAAGGATCTCCAAGCATGACCTTCATGTTCAGACAGCACAGTGTGGGTCAAACTGGAGGCCCGAGACCAGCTAGCATTTTAGGAACCCAAGTTACAGCACAGGGCGGGTCTGATGGCTAACACAGTCACCGGAGCTCTGTGACTTTGGAAATGTACTCACTTTGACCAATTGTCGGTTCCCTTCTCTGAAACAAAGGGAGAATAATGAGACCTGCCTCTTAGGTTTATTGGGAGAATTACATGAAACAATCCATGTAAACCCTAAGCACGCTGCCTGGCACACTTTAAATGCTCAGCAGTGATTATCATTTCAGGCTCAAAGGAACTTTCTCAGAGGAGGCAAATCAGCTCTTTCTAAAATGAACCTCTGAGCTCTGAGCCTGGGAGAAAAGCCCAGAAGATTTTTGTCCCAGGCCCTGGAATCTGCAGTCTGGAGAGGCGGCTGTGATTTTACTGCTTCTGTCCCACTGCAGCTGCTCCGTCTAACACTGTGTCCTGTGAGGGCAGGTCTTTGGTTAGTACTCTGCGTGTGGATCCGCTGAAGAGTGGGGATGGTTTTTGGGTCTGATGGTCATTTATATAGAACTTCAGAGAAGAGAAACCCCAGCTGCCTACTCGTACAGGCCACAAGTATGAAAACAAATCCTTGTGTGTTTACATTCTGTTTGGACACAGGAGCGTGCTCTGGGTACCTCAGCTCTAATCCTGTTTTTCTGCCAGCTAGCTGTGTCACCTGGGCATGTATACACTCTTTGGAGTAGTTGTCACAGGGACTTGGATATGCTCATCCCTAACATCGCCTAGCTTCATGATGTGATTCTAGATCACCTCTTGGGCAGTCTCAGCTGTCTGAAGCACAGCTGGGAGCTGGAAGGTAAGCAAATGACTGGCAAATGTTGGTTTTTCAGTTTTGTGCTAGAGCATGCCTGCTCTGTCATTAGCAGGGCCCCTAAACCCTCACTTCCAACCCATGTACTCTTATTTTACACTGAAGTTTAAGAAGCCTGTATCTGACTTTCCGTATTGGTAGGGTGAAAGTAGACATGGCAGTTGAGAGGCTGCTGTGGTTTTACACACTGACAAAGTGAAGTTCTACATCATTCAATTCAATTGAATGCAATTGAACTGACGGTTCACTTATTTTCATCAGAGTCATCAGTGAATGACACTGAAGCCTGATCTTGAGAAGAGAAGCAGAAAAACTGTAAAAGCACAGCTGTCTGGGCCATTTAGTATATAAATAAATAGCTTCTGTCATGGCAAAAGGTTCATGAAGAGTGGCTGCTGGCCTTGGAGTCAGAAGACTTGAATTTGAGGTCTGGCTCTTTTTCTTACCAAGTGTGTGATTTTGTGCAAGTCACGTAAATGGATGCGCTCCATTTTCCTCTCTATAAAACAGAAACAGTCATACCTCTCACAGCTTCCCTTTACTGGTAAAGCTTCCCCTTACAAGCTTTTTCCTGCTTGACTGTCCCAGCAACCTGAGAAGGGAGGTAAATTATCATTTTCATTCTATGGGTGAGGACGTAAGGCCGAAAAGAGACTGTTGCCTACCCAATGTCAAATAAGTAAGAAAATCCATCTCTATCTCTATGTCTGTTTATACATGGAGTGATTAAAACTGTAAAGGTTTTGCAAATATGGATTAGAATACAGCATAACTAATATTCATTTTGCATACTGATTATTTAATGACATTAAGAAAAGGTTAAATTGTGTTCATTATATATTAATAAAGAAAACAGAAGGACAAGGACATACTTAAGGATTTCTACACATAACAAGCTATTAAGTTCATAAAACAATTTCAGTTTTTCTGAAGTCAACATTTTAAATATCTGGTTCATCTTTTTCTTTTGGGCTAGCTCAGTACAGCTGTAAGGACATTCTCCGCGGCCTTGGGAGTGTAGAGGAGACCGGGGCCACCAGGGCCAAGGCTGTGTGCATGCCCAGGAGGACCCTGGCATCACCTTGCCGTAGGTCGCCATGTACTTCTGCTTTATTTGTTGCCTCTCCTCCGATGTCCTGCTTGATAAGATCTCAATGATGGCTGCTTCATCGGTTCCTAAAGTAGAGAATGAAACATGGCAAGAATGAACAAGAAACAAGATGAAAGTTAGATTTAGTAGAGTCTGGGAACCCAAGACAGTGGTCAGGGACTTCAGAGGAGCCTAGATGGACCCTTTAGCTTTAATGTCTTGTGGGAACTGCATTCTTTTCACTTACCTGACAAATATCCACTGAGGCCTCCCATTGCATGAAGCACGGTGCTAGGCATTGTCGTGGAAAGAGGCACAGGTTTGGCCTTAATTTGACTCCTAGGTAAATACTCAAGAGAAATGATGACAAATGTCCACACAATGCTTGTACATGAATGTTCATTGCAGCATCATTCCCAGTAGTTGGAGGTGGAGACAGCCTGCATGTCCATCAAGGGGCGAATGGATAAATGTGATATGACCACACAGTGGAATATTACTTGGTCAGAAAGAGGAATGAAGTACTGACATATGCTATGATATGAATGAACCTTGAAAACATGGTGCTAAGAGAAAGAAGCCAATCCCAGAAGACCACATATTATACGATTTCATTCATATGAAAGTCCACAATAGGGAAATCTATAGAGATAGAAAGTAGATTAGTGGCTAGGGATGAAGTAGGTAGGGGGGTCGTAGCTAAGGAGTGGAAGATTTCTTTTTGAGGTAATAAAAGTATTCTAAATTGTGGTGATGGTTGCACATATCTGAGAATATATGAAAAACCATGGATTGTACACATTAAATGAGTGAATTGTGTGGTATGTGAATTATACCTGAATAAAACTGTTAAAAAATACTAAAAAAGAAAAAGTATTGTTTTTCCTTGGCCTCCAGGTGCTTAAAATTAAGTGGAAGAGACTCAGATACAGGCCCAAATTGCTACAATATCAAGCCCACCCATAAACTTGTTACATCCAGAAGAGAGAAGTCCTAATTGGGACCTTGAAGCATGGCTGCTCCTTTAAATTCCTAACTCTTGACACCTTTAAATCACGTTCTTTCTATAAAGTTTTTTTCCCTGGTGCTCAAAGTAATACATGTTCATTGCAGGCAATTTGATCAAGACCATAGACAATAATGAATAAGAAAGAAGTGGAGAATATGTTTTGAACATGGAGATAGTATTGGAAAGATGACCCAGGCAGTGCCGGTGTGGGAATGAGAAAGACTGCTTAACCAGCCAACCCTGAATTAGATTTCTTCAGACTGGTTCATATCACAGCTCCATCCTCACTGACTGTATGATATCGGGCAAGTTCAGGGAGACCAACCCTTCCCTAGCAGCCCCTAGGTGTTAGAAGCGGCCGGTGTGGTGGGGCAGACAGAGCTGGGTTGGTTACGGCTCTGCCCCATATAAGCTGCCAGATTCTGGACTGGCTTTGGAGCTGTGGTGTCCAGCACTGTAGCAGACGGAGCCAGCCAGCATTTGAAAGGGGACTAGTTTGAAATGAGATGTGCTGTCAGTATAAAATGCACACTTGATTTCATGGACTTAGTATAAAAAAGGAGTGTAAAATGTCTCAGTAATTTTTACGCTGATTACCTATTGAAATGTTACTATCTTGGGTTAAATAAAATGTTATTAAAATTAATTTCACTTGTTTCTTTTTACTTTTATTTTTTAATGAAGCTTCTAGAAAATGTGAAATTCCATTTGTGGTTCGTATTATATTTCTACTGGGCAAGGCTGCCCGGAGTTCCATTTTTACCTTCTGGTTGATGTATGTTAAGACAATACTAATCTCAAAGACAACAGGAAATCTCTGTCCAAATGTTAGTACTTTGTCCATCTTGGCCCACAGCAGTGTCTGTTCCCACAAGGAGAGGTACACACTGGCAGGCCCTTCCATTCGACTCTTCTCATGTACCTAACTGTGGGGGGACACCTACTGTTATGGGTTGAATTGTGTCCCCCTGAAATGATGTTTTGAAGTTCTAACCCCCAGTACCTTAGAATGTGACCTTATTTGGAAACAGGGTCTTTATAGAGGTTGTCAAGTTGAGGTGAAGGCATTAGGGTGGGGCTTAATCTGACTGGCGTCCTTTGAAAAAGGGGAAATTTGGACCCAGAGAGAGACTCTCACAGAGGGGAGAGAAGGCCCTGTGAAGGTGGAGGATGGGAGCGCGGCACCTCTAAGCGAGGGAAGGCCTGAGGTTCCCGGGAGCCAGGAGAGAGGCAGGGGGCAGGCCCTCCTCTGGAGCTATCAAAGGGAGCCTGGCCTGCTGACTCCTTGATTTTTGGACTTACTGCTTCCAGAACTATGAGGCAACAGAATAAATTTGTTGTTTTAAGCTACCCGCTTTGTGGTGCTTTGTTTTGGTAGCCTTAGGAAACAAACACACCCACTATTCTCAGCAATATCTCAAGACTCCAGAAAGGAGACCAAGACACCCTCTTCGCAGCCAAAGTCTGAGATCCCTGCATTGCCCATTCCTAGCCCCGTTCTCGGTGTCTGCTCCCTGTGAAGAGCATGTGCTTGGCGATCGCTGAAGGGGGCTGAATTAGTTGAACTTGCACAATTGCTTCTAGCCAGCTGAGAGATCAGGGTCCTGAAAGGACAAGAGGCGGTAGATGCATTTGCTAGAAGGGTTGGGAGCAGGGAAAATCGGGGTCATGGTTATGGGGAAGGGATGGGGATGGCCGTGCCTGGGTAGAAATGGGAGAGGGAATTTAAAAAATTCTTTTTTTGCTGGCGAGGACTTAGGTGTTTCACTCTTGCCTCGACTCTGGCACCTGCCCTCACAGCCACATTTGGGAAGACCGTCCTGGGATTTAGGAAGAGAGCTCTGCCCTAGGGATTAGAGAGCTGGGTGCCGGTCTGGACACAGCCACTAGGTTTATATCCTTGCATGGTTCACTTAGTCTCAACGATTAGTTCCACCTTTACAATCTGGGAAGATGTAGCCAATTCCCATCGGAGAAACAGAAAATTCTAGGATGAGCTCACTTGCAAAAGTAGTGATGGTTAATTGCCTGCCTCTTTCTGGTTCAGTTCTAGCACTGTTATTTATGTTGTTCCTCTTCATTTCCTCCTGTAGTTCCACCTACATAATGGGTATCCAATCACTTCCTCCGTGACATTTTTTTTTAAACTTCTGAGTACCAGAAATCTCACCGCAAAAGGGAATTCTTTTTCTCGTAACTTGCTGTTCCACCTCTGCAGTATCTCTCAGACCCACCCATTTCTCTCCACCCTCACCTCTGTCACTGCTCAGCAGAACCACTGATACCCAAATGGGGTTCCCGCCTTACTCTTACCTTTCCAATCAGCATTCACTGTCCCCAGAATGACTTTCAGATAAGCAGAGCAGCCTGCTCACTCTGCTGTTCCAGGCCTTTCCATATAGCCCCTTCAAATCCAGAGTAAAGTCTCCACTCTTTAGTGGGGCATATGAGGCCTTTTGGAGTAGCTCACCTTGCCTGTCAAAGTCTTGTCCCTCCCTACCCTTCCTTCCGTAGACCTCCTTTCCCTCAGCTCCATGAATTACTTGCAGCTCCCAGAACCAGCAACGCTTTCCTTCTCATCTCTGTGTGTTTGCATGGGCTGTTCCCTCTACCTGGAACAGCTTTATCATTGATCCTCACCTTCATGCCCACTCCTTCTTTGGGACTCAACTCACTGGACTTCTCTGGGACTGATGGGGCACCCTCCCTCTGTGCCCCTCACATTGCCTGTTCTCTGTCCTGTCTCTGCCATGCCACCCTGCATGTTCCATGGGAGCAAGGGTTGTTTTGCTCACTGCTGTAGCTACATAGAAGGCTCTCAATATTTATCAAATGACTTGCTGAATGAAAGGATGTTTAAATGCATGCACGTATGTGTGAATGAATGAATGAATGAATGAAGTTTGCTCAGTGTTATGATGGAAACTTGTCTTTGCTTTGGTGTTGCATATACTACTCAGGTGGACTGTATGTAGCAGGGGCCACTAGGAAATCCTCGTAGTCTGATGCCATCCATGGTCAACCCATATCTGGTTAATTCAGGAAAATTGAGTAAAAATTTAAACAATAACATTGTTTAGATTTTCCTCCCTGGATGGCTTTAAAAAGAGACCAGAGAACAAAGCAATCCTGGGATGGCTTAGCAACAGCCTGGAGGTGAGGGAGGGTGTGGAAATGACTAGACTTCCCTCAAGCCCTTCAAGTCCATCTCTCAGGTTTATCCTGGGAGCTGTTTCCACTGCCCAACCAAGAAGCGATTTACTGAACAGTGACCTCATTTTACATTTCATAATAAGTGTGTCACATAAGCAGTCTGTGCTGCTGAACAATTTCCTGTAAACACTTACTGGTTTGATGCCCTGGGGCCAGACCCCGGTGGTTCTGGGAAAGACTTTTTTTTAAATGAGAAAAGAAGCAACCTCACAGCACTGCCTGTGCTTCCAAGCCTGTAGATAATCATACGGTGGAGGGTAGGCAGCTTTAGGAGTGCTGGCCGGCCTCCTCGCTATTGCTTTCCCAGCAATTTTCTGGGAAGATATAGAGCTAAGTTTCAGCAGGATAGAGGCAGCTGGGTGGGACATGCCTTCACACCAGGGGCTCATGTGTCAGATGAGTGATATGTGCAGTGCCTTGTGGCAGGGTCTCAGCTTTCCTGTAGGCTCCCCGTGTCCTCCCAGCCCCCGCCCCCCACCCGCCTGCCTCGCTGAGCCCAGGCTGTAGCCCTATCTCTGGGGCCCGAGGGCCAGTCTCTTCTGCTAATACCACTGGGCTTCCCAGTCCCTCAGTGTCGCCTTTGCAAATTGGGGGTGCAGGGAAGATTAATGAGGTAAACAACGGGGGAGAATCTTGCCTGCCTGAGAGGGTCATTGTTTTTCACTTTCCCACTGTATTCGTGTCCTGAGGCTGCTGTAACAATTGCCATGAACTTGGTGGCTTAAAACAACAGCAATTTATTCCCTCACAATTCTGGAGGCTAGAAGCCTGAAATAAGGGTGTCGACAGGGCCAGACTGCCCCCAGAGGCTCTGCGGTAAGATCTGTTCCTTGCCTATTTCAACTTCTGAAGGCTGCCGCCATCATTGGCGTTCGTGGCTGGTGGCTGCGTCACTCAGCTCTCTGTCCCTGTCTTCACATGGACTTCCCTCCATGAGTCTTCTGTCTCTTTTAAGGACACTTGCTATGGATTTAGGATCCCACCTAGGTAATTTAGGATGATCTCTTCTTGATATCATTATATTAATTACATCTGCAAAGGCCCTTTCCCAGATAAAGATGGACATATCTTTGGGGGACACCATTCAGCCTGGTACACCCAGAACACAGGCCTCTCAAGGGGGGACCCCCTCGCTGCTCATGCTGATCTAGTTGGTTTGGTGTGGATTTGGGGTCTGAGCTGATTGTTCATGAGGAGATCAGTATGTCATGAGGGCCTGAGAAGTGCTGCCTCCCCGGTGCTCAGCGCCTCTCTCCGAGGGGACATTAGCCCCATTCTGTGAATGGCTCCAGTAAGTGGCGGAGCGTGGCCGCAAACCCAGTCCACAGATCCTTCCCTTGGAGAGCAGGAGGCCCTGGACTTAGACTCATGAGATCTGAGTTCAGGCTGGGTTCTGCTCCTGGGCGGCCTAGCTTGTTTCTGTGCTTCTCAAAAGGAGGACAGTAAACGTCCTTGTACATTTCAGAGGGGGTAATGGATGTGAGGCGCATACACTCTCAGGATTAAGACACTCTCTTCAGAAGGGCCCTGCTGGGATGGGAGCAGCACAGGGGCATGGAGCCCTGACAAAGAGTGCCAGTATTGGGGGGAGGGTAGAGGCTGTTCTGGGTTAACAAAAATTCCAGACCAAGCACGTGCTTAGCACCCAGGAAAGGAGGGTTACCAAAGAAGCAACAAGGAAACCTGTAAATTTTATGTTCTTTGGAAAAATCATTTTATGGTGTGGAGATCTTATTTTGAATTGCATAGGTGGGTGAGTGGGTGAGGAGGCATTTAATCTTGATGCATGAGGCCTGCAGAACCACTCTACTCAGTACAGTGGATCCATGGGGCTACGGAGGGCTTGAAGTGTGGCTAATCCAAGCTGAAATGTTCTGTAAGTACAGATGTAGAGAAAACGAAATTCCCAATGGTCAGGATTCTCACCTGACCCTGGTCTGTTGCCCACTGCACAAGTGTGGGCAATATGTCACTATGGCTCTATATAAAGAACTCCACCCAGGGCTCTGGGCTGTACGGCTGCAGGAGAGCAGAGGCTGGAGGGGTGGTCATGCCGAGGACAGAGACAGAGATGGCGGCAGGGGCGGAGGGGCCTAGAGGCAGAGACCTGCTTGCTGCAGGCAAACTTGCTCTGAGTGGATGAGATTCTAGCACTTGCCCTGTCACGGTGAGAAGAAAAGTGGGTATAAACCCTTTCATCCCAAGAATGTTCCATTGTCATTTTTCAGTCTCACTGAATCGAGAGTAAACTTGTCCGAGGTTGAAACCCACTGGTGAGACAGTAAAATACATACTGTATGTTGAACACTTACTGTGAAAAGAAAGGATGTCAAATAACTCATTAACAATTCTTACGTTTATTGGTAAAATGATGTTTTTTATACAATATTGAGTTAACTATATTACAATTAACTTCACCTGCTTTTATTTTTCTTTTAAAATTTGGTTTCTCAAAACTTAAAAATTACCTATGTGGCTCATCTTTGTGGCTATAGAACAACATGGCCCTAGACATTTAAATCCAGCCCTGGCAGGGCTGGTGTATCAGTGAGATGGGTGCATGGTGTTGTAGACATATTTTGTCAACAGAGATAATTTTGCCTTGTTTTCACTTGATAGAGGTTAGGATTTTAGACCTTCAATGAAACCAAAGCTTTCCAATGTGGCCCTGGTTTCCAATAGCCCCATTTTTATTTCACAACTCTTTGACCTTGGGCAAGATATTTAACCTCTGAGCTTCAGCATTCTCATCTGTGAAGTCATTTTAATATGACTTTACAGGGCTGTTGGGAGGATGACACAAGATGATGTGCAAGCAGTGCCCAGTTTAGCACCTGCACGGAGAGAGAGCTCCACACCAGTAACCAGCACTAGAGTGGTCCCACCTATGGCCACATCCAGAGGGAGGAAGAGAACACTGCGTAACCTTGGCCTTCAGTGGGTGCTCCATCTGTGCTTATTGAGCTAGACACATATAGTGGCTAAGAATGTGGGGGTTTATAGTTAACTGCAGCTGAACTCATTCCCACCCCCACTTTAGCACCTGTCACATCCAGGTGTGAGGACCTCACTCAAGAGGCAGCAAGGAAGCACCTGCGAGACTGGCTCAGCCACTGAGCACTATAAACATCCTGCCACTTCCAGGACAACATGTTTCTCTTCAGCTATAGTCCAACTACTATATAATCTTGTAGATTAACCAGGGCTGGATGTGAACAAGGGGCAGCTTCTCTCTGCTAAGTGTTCCTCTGATGCGCCCTAAACCAAGCAACCCAGTTGTCATCCTTCATTTCCAGCTTGTGTGCTCTTTCCTTCCCTCCCTCTCCGATTAATTCAAGGCTACATGTAGAAATCCCTTCTCCCTTTCCCCTACCAGGTCTTCTTCAACACCAAGTCCCCTGGGACTTCTCCAACCTTTCCTGGACAAAACTGACTGTTCTAGAGGTAGATAGAAATAAGTCTTTCTAGAACTTCCACCATGGATCCCAATTCTGTCCTCTGGAGTCACCACAAAGAATTTATGGCCATTTTATTCCACCATACTATCCATTCCTAGGAAAGTAAATCTCCACTAAGTAAAAATTTAGCACTTGTTTTCACAAAGCATTATGCCAAGTGCAAGAAGCCAGACACATATTGTATGATTTCATTTATATGAAATGTCCAGAATAGGCAAATCCATAGAGACAGAAAGTGTTTGCCAGGGCCTGAAGGGAGGGGGTACTGAGGAGTGGTTGCTAATGGATGTGAGGTTTGTTTTGGGGGTGATGAAAATCTTCTGGAATTAGTGACAATGGTTACATGGTCCTGTGAATATACTAAAACCCAGGCTTTGGGGACAAGAACCTTGTTTCACTGGTGACCTCCTTGGGTCCCAGAGTCTCTCTTCATGGCCTTGTTCCCAGATGCTCCCTCCTTCATCCTGCCTTGTTACTGCGGTTGCCTTAGTCCTGATTTCTTACTTAGACGCCCATTCTTGACCATGTACTTACTCTTAGGCCTGGATGTACACAGCTCCTTCACTTTTGACCTCTGATTCTTGACCTTGGCCATGGTTTATGCTCATGTGGTCTCTTCTAGATGCAGCTCCCAGTTCTCTAACTCAGCTCTCATTAGACCCAGTTCCCCACCACCTCCCATGAACCCAGATGGATTTACATGACATTAGGATTGTATGCGGTACACTTCTCATGAAGTTTCTTCTACTTCAAGGTCAAACTAAATGTCATAATATCCAATTTCTAACTATTATATTGAATTCTGAAAAGCATTAGGATCTGATTATAACTTTGGGATCTTTTATAAAGAGAACTTATGAAGTAATCAGCTTGAGTTATCTTGGAATGCACAAGATAAGTGAGAGGTTATCTTCGGAAGATCATGGGAAAGTTGGGCATGAAATCAAATTTAATCAACTTCAAAAGTAAATAAACAAAAAATCTTTCATACCCATTCCTTTGCAGGCTTTGTTCAGCATTTTGGCATCTCGATCTGCATCAAAACCCTGATGACTTCTCACTTTGGCCTGGAGAAAATAATTGAAAAGGTGAGTGGACAATATAGGCCTTCATGAGTTATCTCTGGCTGAAATTAGTAACCAATTGTAGGACAAAGTAGTCATGCAAATGAGGGACCAGCTGTCACTATACACATGGGTACATGTGGAGATCAGCTGGGGAAACTCTAGCCCCAGAGAGATGGCTGGTACTCCTTGGAGCCAGCTGGGCTTGGATGGCCACGGAGAATGGGCCCCTCTGTTCTCAAGGACTATCAGCCTGCCCAACTCTGGGGTGAGCAATTTTCACATCAACCCTACCTTTGTGTGATCATCTCTGAAACAGAGTAAGACAGTGGGCCAGTGTGCTGGGTTGCTGACTCTCCGCTTTTGCCATGAGACACAAGTATGTCTAGGGAATAGGTATTGCCAGCCCGAAGCTAAGGGTTCTGGGATCTTACTACAGATCCCCTTGGTGACCTGGGCTAAAGCTTTGACATCCACACAGTGAGAGATATAATAGTTTTCCAGAGATACCATGTGCATCGGCAATAGCAGAGTTACTGGTTTTTACAGCTCCTTGGGGAGACAACGTTTTATTTATATACTAACTAATGTTTCTCATACGTCAATCATTGGTAGAATACATACACTTATTTGTCCATGGTTACCAAGTCAATATTATTATTATTTGCTGTCCACTGACCTAAAATAACTTTGCATGAGGTCTTGCCCACTGCAGGACTGCCCCCAGTTCAGTTTGCATCCTAAAGCCCACGCTCTTAGTTCCCGTGCACCATCCGTCCTTATGCTCTAGTTATGACTGGGGCCTTTATGTTTAGCAGAGGGATGACATATCTCATTTTCCTTTCCAAATCTTCTGTATGGTATGAGAAAGCTTTCTGGCACTTCAGAGGGCTTATTGGCTGGACCAGCAACATAATTGCAGGGCTTGGTACAAAATGAAAATGTAGGGCTCCTTGTTAGAAATGATTAAGAATATCAAGCTGGTACCATCAGAGCATTAACACAAGTGTGAGGCCTTTCTGCGCCAGAGAGTTCTGTGTGGCTGCCCAGGCTGCCCATGTAGGAAGCCGGCCCTGCTTTTTGATCAAATTCTGACAAGGGTGGTTCTCTGAGTGTGGGGGTGTGGGAATGGCAATCTCAAAGGAGGAAACAGTGCCTTTCTTTTCATGGGATGTGCTATGGAGGGTTTTGGAGGCACGGAGGAACTGACCCAGAGCAGCAGAAGTCTCCTATTAACAGGCGGATTCAAAAACTGCTTGACACACCTCCTTAGCCTTATCAGAGTAGGCAGTTTGGTGGGACACATACTGTCTGTCACAGGTGATAAATCAGAACAGAGACTCAGAGCTCCGTGAGTGGCCGTGGAGGCTGTGCCCTGCCTGAGGCCTTGGCTGCATGACAGAGGAGCTGGGCTCCAGCTGGGCTACACTTGCCGAGCCCTGTGCTGGCAAGGATGCTTCTCCCCCAAAGGGACACTTTTTCCTTAGTTGCGCAAAGATGCTGCCAGGTGCTTGCAGAAGTCACATGGAGACTTGTTTAAGAGCTCCTGGCCAGGCAACAGCTGAGTCTCAGGCAGGGCTCGAACCAGGACTGTCCAGCTGTCAGGTGTGCCAGACAGTCCTGCCTGCCCTCAGCCCCTTTCAGCCCCTTACTGTTTTAGAAAGGTGGTTCCATGATACAAACATCACACAGTTACGGGAATGAAGGGGTGGGAAAGAACGCTCTGAACATGTTCAGTTTGCTTCCCCAAGGCTGAAAAATGAGTACCTGAGTGTTCTAAATAACAGTGATATCTGGGGGCTGTGGGGGTGCAGTGGGAGAGTGTTGTACCCCATGTTAGGAAGAAAGATGACATTGAGACTTAATTTTTTTCTTTTTTGCCTAACAAATAATCTGGCTTAAAAGTCTCTGTCGGATGCATGACCCTCAGCAGGGCAGATGGAGGTCACCTTCCCCTGGATCCTTCTAGGAACCACTAGGAACTGCTCTTAGTCATGTTGGTTATCTTTCCTAACGCAAAGGAATTCGGTCTTGTTTCTCATAACAGCAGGCGCTTTGATGTCCAAGGGAAGGAATCATGTGATGTGGTTTTTTTTTTTTTAAGTGGGGAAAGAAAACAGTCTGCTAGGAGTTCTCCCTGCTGCGTGGCTGGGCCTGCCTCCACAATGGATGTATTCATCAGCAGGGCCCAGCGTTGATACAGAGGCTGCCCCTGGAGGGTTCTGAGGAGCCAGTAACAAACTTCTCCGGAATGTATATGGAGCAGACATTCCACATCAATTGTTCATTGTTAGTGGGCCAGGCAGCTGACTTTGGGGCCTAGGGCCTGTTTACTAATTGGGAGATTTTGTTTTTGAAACCTGAGGCCACTGCACAGAGCTTCCACAAAAAGCAGTTGCAGGAATGTGAGTCAGACACAAAATGGGGGTGTCTGGGACTCCAGGATGGAGACAGACATTTGTGAGGGTTCAGACTAATACAAGGATGTTCCACTCACTTTCAGCTATAAGACGTAATAGACGCAGCACAGCATATTCCTTTCTATGTTTCACTTTGTTTTGCTTTGATTTGCTAAGTTAACAGCATTTGCAATGACATTCAGGAGACACATAAAAAAGACAAGATGTTACATGTTGATGAAAATGATTACATGAGTCTGGGCTTTGAGCCCACATGAGTCCGAGTTTGAATGTGGTTCTACCCCTTTGAAGTCATGTGAACTTGGGCCATTAACCTCTAAACCACCATTTCCTCATCTGTAAAATGGGGGCAGTGTCTGCCTTGTAAGAGTTGAGACTTATGTGAGATAACGTTTCAAGTGCCAGATGTATAGAGGAGCAACAGAAATGCTAGTCCTTTTCTGCATCTTTGGGCCATCTCTTGGTTTTTGTCTTATAGTGAAATAGGTTCCAATTCTGCCTTTTTTGATTCAACAAGTTTGTAAGATATACATATCCTGCATCTAAAACAAGGAAACAAATTACCCATTTTTCTGGAGGGAGGAGGTATAGAAAACAAAGTGAGATACATGAGCCTAGAAGGGAGTGTCACCTGGGCAGAAAGCATGTTGAAAACACCCACTCTGAAATGACTCAGGGACAAGCCAACTTCACATCGGCTGCCCAGGAGGAAGGCTGGCTCTTGAATCAGCCGCTGATACCCCAAGCTGGAGTGGAGAAATAGACACCTGACCAAAGGCTTCTATGTCAGTGCAATTCAAGGAAGGCTTAGCTCTTGTGATTGAAAGGGAACATTTGAAAGAAAACTTCCTCCAGTTTGCAGCAAACTCTGGGAATGGAATTTGTAAAAATGTTAGCTGAGGGATATGTTTTGCAAATTGGTTGCCCTATGCATTATATAGTAACCAGAATTTTTCAGGACCCTGCCTTAAGTATACTCAGATTAAGTATGACGGACTCCTACTCATCAGTCCTGGTGACTGATTTTCTATTTGAATACCATCAGCCTGGATAATAAGAATATACTGTCTCATGAGAGACATATGAAGTAATTAAAAAGCAATATGTAGCTGGCAAATTAGGTTCTCCTCCAAACAGGTCCACCCTCCCTCCCAGCTTCGTCTCTTCCCTTATCTTTCTTTCCCCTCTTCCTTCTTCCCTTTTCTCCCTCCCCTTCCTTCAACAGACAGGTACTGAAGATCTATTGCGTGGCAAGCACTACTCTAGGTGAGAGGGACTCAATGATCTATGAAGTGCAGTACTTGTCCCAGACAAATAAACATCGAAATAAATCAATGACAATTGTACTATGATGTGCTAAGCACTTTGGATGCAAATAGCTGAGAAGAGAAAGAGGAACTTTTGTGGAGAAGTTGCTATTTGTGCTGGTTCTTGAAGGATGAGCAGTAGCTAGGCAAGCAAAATAAGGAGGGGCAGAGGTGGGGGAAGGACATTCCAGGGAGACCCTATTCCATGATACTTGTTGTGTCTGTATACATGTGTGCTTCCTACGACCTATCCCTGTGCTACTGCGGAATAAGCGTGATTGATCTAAAGTAGACGTAATGACATAGTGTGGACTTGGGAGTCAGACCTACTGTGTTCTCTCATGTTTTGCCCCTTGCTGGGTGTACAACTTGGGGCAAGCTGACCCATCTCTCTGAGCCTTTGTTGTCTCATCTTTAAAGGGCAGGTGCTCCTGCTCATGGGGTAGCATGAGGTTTGGGTGCGACAGCGCAGCACCGGTTACAGGAAGCACTCCATTGATGGCACGTAGGAGGTAGGATGCTCAGTGACATAAGGATGTAAGGGTCATTTGTAAACTCTTAAGTATTATTAGAATGTAACGGGAGTGGCATTTTGATTGTTCTTTCCAGTATTCCCGGAAGCCTTGGCTTGCTGCAGTCTGCTCAGTAAATATTTGACAGTGGTTGTGCTTGGCAGCCAGGCTCTGCGACAGGAGGGCTCTGAGGAAGTGCTGGGGGGCAGAGGCCAGAGGGCTTATTGTACCCTAATCTAATGAGGGCTGCTGCCTGAGCTGACATGAAATCTGGAGGAGATTAAAGAAGAGGGCCGGCATTAGAACCAGGCTTATTATGAGGAGCGAAATGGAGGCAGGGGAGGGTTGTGCCAGGGAGAGCCCCAGACACACCTGACTTCCCAGCATGAGCAACAGCCCCTGCCCCTGCCAGCTGATGGTACCTCAAGCCAGTGTTGGCAGTTTGGGCTAAAGTCCTTTTGAGTAGATTTTAAGATCATTATGGAACCATCTACCCTACATGTGTGTGCTCATATATCTGCCCTTGAACCTGGCATGATGCTTTTTTTTCTTTCTAAGTCTGTTTTCCCATCTGATGAATGGAAATTTTAGTCCCTACGTCTTGTGGGCATCAAAAGTGCTTGGCAGGGTGCTTCGCACATGGTGAGTACTTGTTGTCATTTTTATCCTGACATCTTGACCTGATTCCAACGGAGTGTTGAATGAGCCCCTGGCATGGTGCTTTGTGTGGCAGCTACCTCGGAAACCATTTTGTACTTACAGATAAGTAGTAGCAGGGGCTAAGA